CAGGGCTTGTTATTCTGTCGCCATTCGTCGATCTTTTCGTTTGTGACATATTTTTTTACACACAAAACTTCATCAAATAATTCACTGTCGAGTATATTTACAGACCAATGATTCGAAATAAAAATCTAGCTTTCCTCTACCTTCACCCACAAAGGGATTTTGAGTAATGTGACCCATTCAAACACCTCTATTTCAATAAAACACATGTCCCAATTATTTAGCACATTAACAGTAAATATGTCACATGCTCGAGCCCCCCGAAGATTGTCAACAAGTGTCGACGAATGCTCACCATTTCAATTCATATTCTCTTTGCACCTACGATTTGGACCGATTGAAATGAGCATGGGGAATAGTGTTACCATCCGGACAGTCTGGGAATCGACTCACCGTCCGGGTGAACTATTAATTTTACCCGGCGATACCATGCGCAACCTTTTTTTTTTCTGCTTGTAGGATTCGTATTCGTAGTACACATCTCCAATATCTAATAGAGTAAGTCTTCTAGGTTACCTAAATTACTCCTACCCAAGTTTCCCTAGTCGCTAACTGTAACTGATTTAGAACTGGCATGCACTGCACATTATTCTTCACATTGCAAAATGACATATGCGTGTGTCAGGAACTTCTGTTTGAACAAACCTCACCTGCCGTCCGGGTCAGCGATTTTAAAAAGGTGGCAACAGTAGCACGGAATTTTTCATTACCAGTTTTCATTCAGTTTTGTCACTTATTCTGTGACAAAACTGAATTTTAGTCTTTTAAATTGAGATACCTAAATAAGGGGACGGCGAAATTTTCCTTTGCCCCAGGCGGCTGACACCCACGCTAAGCCACTGGACAGAAGAGGCTTTTTTTTCTTCAGACTTCGCTGTGGGACTAGTGGACAGCACGCCAGTGGAATACTATGAAGGTGAGGAAGCTCCAAGAGAGGAGATAAGCGAAGGAAGGGTTAAGAGTAGTGACAAGGCACTGGGCTCCTTGTTGGACGGAATCTGTTTGCATCCACAATAATATTTAATGGAGAGAGGAAGAACTGTTGATTAGAGACAGAAGGTTAAAGAAATAACTGATACTCATGTGTAGTACGCCTGTTCCTGTTGTATTTTTTTTTTTTTTGTTCAGATCAAATAAGATTCAACAAATGTGTCGGCCCCTCCAGCATGTACGTATCATTGTATAAATTGTAAATATTACCATTAGGCTAAGCATTTTTGTAATCTAAGTAATTAGTGTACTAGTGTTTTAAATATCATATTTTTTTCATATACATAAAATATAAATTTCCTTCCTCAAAACCGTATTCGAGTGATAATTATTTGTACGACCCTTGTTTTCTTTATCATCGGTGAGTCTGAACCTTGCCATTTCATACTCACTACATTATCATAATTTTCTATCTGTAATCTGCATGCAGTCTCCTAAAAGACTTTCAACTTCAATATTGCAGATACAATTTTTCAAAAAAATGGTTTTAAAACTATTTTGCTTATAGGTATGTTATGAAGTATTCTTGGCATGATAAAATATAATATGATATCTTGTTATTATTTATATGTCAGGCAAATGCAAAAGATAAAGTTGCATATGAACCCATCCACTTTTGCTTGTGAATGAAGTATAGCATTATTTACATGCCTGTTTAGCCCTCCAATAATCATTTCTAAGTCAGTCTTTGTTTAAGATGTTTTAAGCATTGCTTTAGATATTGTAGCTTAGATTATCAATAGTGATTATGTGCTGTGGCAATACACCATATTTTTATATATTTTATTAATAATTTAGTAGTTTTCTTTCTTCTTTGTTTCATTCTCTATTCTTTAAAGAATGTTCTTTTTTAACCCTTTCTTCTTGGGTGGTGATGACTAATCCTTTGAACAAAAGAGATAAAGGAAGCCCTGAGGGCTAAGTTGAGGGAACAATGATCATTCTTTGCTGAGACATCAAAAAGGTTAGACATAAGAAGAGTGCTCTCTAGTTCATTTTTGGCAGTGAATAGAGACAGAAGGAGGCCTAAGCAAGAATCAAGGCAAATTTGGAAAGAGAAATCATAGAGACTCCCAACCACCATTGAAGCGAATTTGGTGAAAACCAGAATTTATTCATCATCCCCAAGAAAGGAAACAATTTGGAATTTTCATCACCCCCCAAGATCACCGTCAACAGTTGGATACCCACTTTCACCTATCCTTACTTCTATTGTTCTTTTTCATCTACTGATTTCCTTCTTCCTTAGATTTAGTTAGTTGTAAGCATTTAGTTGTAGTTCATTTTATACAATGACACAATCACCTTATGTATCTGAGAACTAACATTTATTCTCCTACAAATGTTTTCTACCTGGTCCGCAGGTCATCCTCAGGTATTTTTGAAATTTTGGAACGTTTCTTTGCATTGGTTCCAGTTCGAATGTTTATGGCTGTTGTAGATGTATTAGCTTAATGTATCAGGTTTCAGTGGTTGTGTATATTTATATATTCCAAAGAACTGTTATGCTTTACACTAAATAAAGATATTATTATTTTATTTTAATCACAAAAGACACAGTCTGTCCAAAAATTATTTTTTGAAACCACCATTTATTCTGATTATGTGTTCCAGAACACCATCGACAACCCGACCTTTCTTTGTAGGCTACTAGGTCATCAGGCTAAAACATTCTTTTAAAAAACACACAAAAATATTCAATTAAAACATTAAAAGTAAAGAATTGGAACTGGCGGCCTTACAGACGTCTTGAACTTGCATCCTTTCTAGTTAGGGAATTTCAGTCCTTTATATTCACTTGATAAATGCGCTGTTAAATGTAAATTTTGGCCTTATCCCTCTGGTGATGAATTACTTCTAAAAAAGTTTTGTTTGTGTCTTTTGTGATTAAAATAAAATAAACTATCATCCGGCGAAATTCTACAAATATTATTATTTATTTACGTATCTTTGTAATTCTCACTTTGCACTTATTATCACAGTATGTTCTGTCTTTGTGTTCAGATAAATGTAACACACTGAACAAAGAAATAACTTCATACAAATGAGAGATAGAACACAACTATCCACACAGAAGGATAAATTCTGTGGGAAGAGGGGGCACAACATAATGGAAGGATAGGCTGGTGTTTGGAGCAGCAAATAACTCCAATTGCAAAGCAGCAATGTTGATTTTGATGTATCATAATTAATATAAAATAAGCTTTATGTTCACAGTAGCAACAATTGTTTTTCAGTCCACTTTATAACAACTATAATGAAAAACTTTTTGGAAACTTTAAACATTTAAACTTTTGAATTAACTAAAAGAATGAATTATTTTGTTTTTTAATGTATTTTAAATATTTTATTTAAATATCAGATTTTAATCTTTTCACAAAAAAAACAAATATTTGAAAAAATTGTTATTTTTTTAGCATTTTGTAAACATGAACAGAAAAGGATTTTATTGGATAATTGACATTCTGTTGTCCATTATTTCATTTATTTTTGGTTATTTCAGATGAAATACAGAGTTACTTCTAGTTTTAGATAAAACAGTTATGTATTTCCTTTTATCATAATAAGATGGCTAATTATATCATACATTGTTTGATATTGTTTAAATAAGTCAACTGATCTTCTAATATAAGAAGTAACAAAAATATAAGAAAAATTATTTAAAAATTTAAAAAGATGTTTTAAATAAATTATTAAAAATATTTATTTTATTTATACTAAATTAATCAAAGGGTAATAGTCATATCTATTGAATATTGAGTTAACTTAGTAAATTTAAAATTTAAAACTTTTTGATGGATAACTAAAAAAAATTAAATTGACATTTTAAAAATTTTATTTAGATTCATCCTTTAAGTGGACCTGTTGATGGAGGAACATTAGTTGCTATAGAAGGGAGTAATCTAGGATCCAGTGAAGAAGAAATACAGGATAAAGTAACAATTGGGGGAATTCCATGTATTCCAATTGAATATAGTATTTCTGTTAGGTATTATAAATATATCCTAATATTTTAAATAAATTATTATTATTTTTTGTATTTCTTGATTAGAAAAGATTTATAAATATTCAAATAAAATTGTGTGATACTTTATTGCATTTTCATTAATGTTTCAATTGACTGCCAGCTTATTAGACATTTCCAGCTTTGTATTTTGAAATAACTTTATCTTTAGCATGTCAAACATGAGCTTAAACAACAGATTATTTTGGACTTTAGTTTGACCAATTATAAAAATATTTATAGTTATGTCTGATAATACAGTTTTCCCAAAAGAAATGTGCTATAGGAGATTGTGCAGAGAAGCTTGTAGGCAAAGCATCAGGAACACAATTAAAGTTAATATAAGTCCTGCTGCATCAAGCAAGGTTTATAATAGTGTACAGATCAGAACTGACAATTAGTATTTAATTTATTGGCATTGAAGGAAAGAAGAGTAACATAATTCTACAGAATTTTTTTGCAGTATTTTGTTCAGTGATGTGAATGAATTATTAATTTTATGCAGCATTTCATTTATAGGTATTATGTGGGTGGTATCATTTTGAACCAGATGCTCAAACCTCCCACATATATAAATGGTACAGTTAGTTGATGATACAATAAATGAATAAACTTCAGTTCCCACCATTTTGTGTTATTTCTCAGCAAGCTTGTAAATTTTTTTTCTTGCAGGTCATTCAGAGTTTGTAATAGCTCCCAGTAAACAATTGCTTTCAAATGTCCTTATAAGAAGAAATAATGGGGTGTACAGATTGCAACATTCAATCCAGCACCCAGAAAACAATACGTCTAAGGTATTTCTGACATCTATTTGGAAGTGAGCAAAGGCTCTGTTGATAGACCACAATGCACATATAAAACATGTTTATCCCATTAGATTGTTCCTGTAGCACTCATTGAAGAAAGGGCACAATATCCTGCTTGCCAAAAGTCCACATTTGAGTTTGGTCTATACAAGCAACAAGGGAGTTTGTTGGTGCCCAATAGCAGCAATTATGTTTGTGACCTTTCAAATAGAAATGCCTACATTAGTTGAAAATGATTCAACCACATATATGAATTTTGTGAAATTAATTTCTTTTTGGCAGTATTGCAGACTGAAATGATGCATCATATAAACAGTATGTTATACTTGCCCCGGATGCTTTTGCACAAGCTTCACTACATGATCTCCTAGGCTTGTTTCTTTTAGAAAACATTATATAGTTTATTTAAATTTTATGTTTTTTAATCATATGTTTCCAATTGTCTCAGATTTTTTTTTATTAAAATAGATTATATGGTTATTTCCAAAAAATATAGTAGTGTTGATTATCTGAAAATCAATTATCCAAAAAAAAAATTGAATAACTAAAATTGACTTCAGAGTACTAATTCCAGAAATTACGAAGTTTTTATGCAGTAATGATTGTTTACAGTCTTCTGTAGATGTGTACCTATGCATGGTGAAGTATTTGATGCATTAGAAACAGCATTGACTTGGTTAGAAATACAACCTGAAGCAGATTTCTCAACTCTCAAGATGATAAAACAAGCCAGAGATTTAGCAGAGTTAAAAAGAAAACACTATGTAAAACAAAGCAAAATAAGGGACTTGTGATAACATTTGAGTTCAAAATAAAAAATACATAATAGTAAAATTAATATTAAATGAAATACAATAATCACAAAAATTGTAATAAATGATTTTTGTGATTATTGTATTTCATTTAATATTAATTTTGCTATTATGTATTTTTTATTTTGAACTCAAATGTTATTAGTATGTTGTAGATTGCAAGAAAAGACAAGTGCTTTGTTTTTAATAAATTAGAGAATTTTTTTTGTTATTTCTTATCATTTATATTTATTAAATTTTCTGTGTCTTAATGTTTTTTTAATATTATACCACAATTAAAATTAATAATATTACTTTATTTAAGGTATTACCTACCTTTTTTATTCTTCTCTTACCAAATGTGATCAGTTACCTGAAATTTTACCACTTCAGATAATTAACACTACTATATTGAACATTTAGCACACATTGCATTTTCTTACTCTGTTTATTGTCTTCTGCTTATGATCATGTAATGTTTTTGTTTCATTTTCTAGTTTTTCTTATTCCTTTTTAATATTAAATATGAAGATTTTTGGTGTACTTGCTATTTTCTTTCATACTTTCTACATTCTCTGATCAGCTGCAAAAGTAAAAAGTGAAAAGTTCTTTTTCCAGTAAATATTTCAATACTATTTACAATACTAGATTTTCATCTCTTAAAATTGTATATATTGATTACCAAAAATAATAATTTATTAATACAATTTATCTAATATTGTAAAAAAATTATCAGTTAAGTAGAAATGAGTTTACAAAATAAAATTATGTTGAAAAACTAAAAATGAGTTATATTATTTTATAGAGTTGTGTGCAAAACAGGTACAAGTGGAAATGGTCCAATGTTAGCTGCAGTGATCGTTGGAAATCGTGCAGGTGTAACTCGTGCTCAAGAGAAATTTCATTACAAGGTAAAAATTTTCTGTTTGTAAATTAAAAGCTGATATACATTTAATATATTCATAAATTTTTTCTAGTACTCTACAGTTGAAGTTTTTCATTTAAATTACAATATAAGAATAATGCTGATAAATATCATAATACATTTTTCTTGTTTTAAATTTATTATATTATAATTTTAGTCTTATTTTCACATCAATCTTTCTAAATTTTTATATATTTAATAAAATTACATAAAATTTATAATTCCAGAGAAATATAAATAATTGATGTAATAAATTGTTGAAATAAATAATATTCAAGGTTTAATTTGAAATAATTATTATTAATATATTTTCATATAAAAGCATTTGATCATAATATAAAATCTCAAAAATGTTGAAAAAATATTCTTAAATATAAAGTAACTTTTTATTTATAATTTATAATTTAAAATTGTCAATAAGTAAAGAAAAGATTTCATAAATAATGAAATTTATTTAAATATATTTGACATAAGTAGATATTGTATATAATTATAAAAAAACAAACATATACCTTTTCACATATTTCATAAATATACTGCTGAAGATAATCATTGCAACTTAAGCCTTTGTACTGCAATGGATTTTTAAGACTTTTTAAAATTAATGATAAATAATAAAACAAACTATATTATGCTTATTGCAAATAATATATTAAACTTTATGGCAATGGTTTCTGATTAGAGTGGTGCACAGCACAGTAGTTAGAATGGTTTAGGGCTAGTGTGTCCTGAAGTCATTCTAAGTATGCAAGGTAAATGAAAAAAATTAAGACAAATTTTAAAATTTGTAAAAAAATAACAAATAAACCTCTGTGTTATCAACTATATTTCAGAGGTTTGTACCAATACACTATCATACTAAAAATATTAGAGCTCCATGACCAGTCCAGTAATATTTAATAATAAAGTGTGCTGCGACCTTTGCATGACTATTTAAGCATGTCATATTTCCAAAATGGTTGGTAGTCACTACTTTATGGTATAGTATCTTGACAAAATATTTCTAATGAGATGGATGGAGTCTGCAATTATTAAAATATTAACATATTTTTAAATGAATTTAATTTTTTGTTGATAAGTATTTTATATAACATTTATTAGATCTTAAAAAATTAAAACCAGATTGGCTGTATTGATATTAATGTAAATACTAAATGTTGATATCATATTACTGTTTTAGAACATTTAATTGTTTTGAGCAGTTTAGTTTAAAATTATAATATTTTGATTTTCTATTAGTTTGTTGAAAACAGATGAATCAGAATATTGTAATAAGATTAAATTATCAGAACTTCAAGATTATAAAAGTAAAGTAAACAAAATAGAATAATTTAATACATACATATTAAATTTTAGTAAGATTGCTCTCATGTCACAAAAAACAGTTTTATGAATACCTAAAGAGATTAAAAACTCAACTCAAAACAACTTCATTTTTTTCATTAAAAATCTATTTTCTAAATTGGATGATTAGGTTTTATCTGACTTATCTATGATTAAACAAAAATATACAAGAAAAATGTAGAGCACAAAAGCATTGTTTTTTGCACTACAAAATTTTAATTAATTTGTTATTATTTAAAATATCATTTCAACTAGTTTTTAGTTTTTATTTTTACATTTCATTAAGGAAATAATAAAATGATTATTTATTAATTTGCAATTAATTATATTATTTTAAATTATATTCAGACTGTGGAACTAAAAGCTGTTTATCCTAATATTGGTCCTCAGTCAGGAGGAACGCGTTTGTATCTTAGAGGTGCAAGTTTAAATATTGGAAGTCAAGTGGAAGTGTTGTTAGATGACCTTCCATGCAGAGTTGAAAGGTGAATGATTAATGTCAATTTATTCGATTTATACCTAACTTAATTTATTGTATTTCATTTAATATTAATTTTGCTATTATGNCTTAATAATTATTATTATTATTATAAATGTTAACTTCAGAATTTATAAAACCAATAAAATTTTACAAGCTGAAAAATTATCTATACTTAAATAGTATGTAATGTAATGTACTTAATGTAAATAGCATATTATCATTCTGTACTAAGGTGATTAATTTTTTGAATGAAGCATTTGCATTTTAATTGTATTACTACTATATAGCAGCATTTAACTTATTATATGTGGTTCTCAGATAATATGTATATACTAATTATAGATGAAATGTATATCAATAAAAGTCAAATACAGTAGCATATTCAGATATTTTGCATTTTTAATGATTATTATAACAATACATAAAAACCACAAAACTCAATAAATTTGTAAAGCCAAACAACCACCAAATTATTTAGTAATTAATTAAATATAAAAGTAGCCCAATGTAATCCAGTGGTTGTTTGGCCTTATTATGACAATTTTGTTTATTTATTATTGTTACCTTTATTGTTTCCCTGAGAAGAAAAATTTCTTTTGTCATATGTTCTTTTTCTGTGTAAAGAGCTTCTAAATGTTGTTGTACATCAACATCAGGATTACGCATATGAGCCATTCGAAGTTCCTCTTCCAACTGTTGAATTAGTGCAGCTTGTTTCTAAAAATAAAATTGAAAAATATTTAATTTTAAAAATAAACTATGTAGTATGTAAATGGTTGTTAATGTCTTTGTCATTAGAGAACCAATCAGCTACTGTTTTATAAAAGTGATAAATGGTATTATACATTTAATGAAATCAAAAATCCTACTCACCAAAAAACCTTTTATTGAAACTAGCAGGAGTTTAATTTTTCATGTAAATTTAGATAAACAAATGTTTTCAACCTAATTATAAGTTTGCTTCAGGTCTCCAATTTTTCATTCTGTTTTGGAATTTGCTGTAGAATGCTATAAATTTTAAATCTTAGAATGCAGTTCAAAAATCTTGTTTGATGTTTTCAGTATAAGTGTGTTTTACATGTCTCCTCACACTCAATACGATCCACCATCTTGGTTTTTGTTTGGATCGTTGTAAAACATTTTCTAAGTTCTTGAAATTTTCTCTTCTTTCTTAAAATTAATATATTTCCCTCTACGTCTTGCTTTATAAATTTCTAGAGGTTTCTGTGTTTTAGCCTGCTCAATTTAGATAGTATGTCCAGTAAGGCTTGTTTGTTCAAAGTTAGGTTTAACTCCTGTTTTGGAGGAATATATGGATAGAGCGGTGATTTTTTTTCTTCTTTTTGATGTCGTATTTGCTCCACAATACATGTATTTAGTGATCTGTTGGTGTATTCGATATATACTAGATCACACTTAAATCTTTCATTTATTATCAGGCTCCTATATACTCCTGATGCTCTCATTCACAGGATCTTTACAATTACATAAAAGTTTACATAAATTGATGGATTTCTTCTGTACATAAGTATAGCATTTCTATTTTTTGTTATTTCTTTATATACTAAGTGGAGTCTTTGGTCATATTCTATTATTATCCTTTTAGGGTTACCTCTGTGTTGGGGTTATGATAATTAGTTTTGGTGCACTTGATATTCTTATTAGCATATGTAATTGCTAGCTTTTTGATCCTTTGTTTGGAATACTCATGTTTGATAGCAATATTCTTGATACATTATAACTCTTTTATGGTGTTTAGGATGTTTGAACAATGTGTGAGTGCATGTTTAGTTAGGGCTCTAAATGCAGGTATATGGTTCATTGAGTTGGCTGGTGTAAATAAAGGTTGGTATCCAATTTTGTAGTATATTTTGGTCTGAATGTGATCTTCTTTAAATTGAATACTTATGTCCAAAAAACGTACTGCATTATTGCTTAATTGCTCAAGTTTCAGAGATAGCCTTTACAGATTGTTGTTCATGTGATATAAAAAGTTGTCATTGTTTGGTTGAACTTTCCAGATAATAATGATGTCATTAATGTATCTTTTATATAATATGATGTTTGGAAGAAATATTGTAAAGTCTTCTCTTCTAGAATTGACACCACCATTTCACATAGGTCCCCTGATAGCAGGCTGCTCATTGGCACTCCCATTGCAGGTAAGTGTTATATTGGAAGCAAGAAGTGTAGCATAGGATATGTGCCAGCTCTAATATATGGTTGTGGTGGAGTGGATCAATGACAGTATTGAGTAACCATTCTTGTAAGGCACAGAAGCAAGGCAGTAATGAAATGGATGGATATAAAGACTATTTTTATGATACAAAGTCTAGGACTATAATATATTTTTCATTTTGTAGCATAATGTTTTGCAGGCTCTCTACAAGATTTTTTGGTCTTTTACCAAGAATTCATATTTTTTCAGATGTTCTTTTAGTAGATTGTGTATTCTTTTTCTAATAATCGTGTAGGTGTGATCTGGCTTTATCAATAATTGGTCATAGTAAGATGTCTGATTATGTGTTTTCATAAATGTAAACAGTTTCAGAGTGTCCAGTGAGTAACCACTGATTTTTCTAATTATAATTTCTTAGCTACTTCCATATGTGTGAATTTTATGACCCTACTTTGTAGTTTATTTGCATACCTTTCATTAATCTGTTTGCATTTGGTGTTTTTGATATATTCTTACATTTGTCTTGTATATAGATTTCTTCATTAATACTAATGCTTTGCTTTTGCTTGCTTTCAATATGTTAATTTGATTTTCATTCAGCCATTTTTGCTTTTAGATAAGTCTTTCCAGAAATGTATGTCATGCTGTTTCATCTTCACATTTCTCATGCAAAATGCTGCTTTCCATTTATAGAACTCTTTGTGATTTTCTGGAATACCAGATATCAGCCTTTCAATCTTTGGAAGCACCTGTTCTGGTTTGAGGTTGGCCTTGCATGGCACATACATGGGTCCTTTTCTGATTGTTTTTACAAGATATTCTGGAGGGGAGATGCCATCCCAACATGTTAGAGGAGTTTTGTTGTTCTTTTTTGGCTTATTGTTTCACCATAATAATTTTTAGTATATACTAATAAATTAAAAACAGGTTTTAAAGATAACTTTTTTTTATGATAGTTAACATATTTCTTGACTTAATTATTTCAATCATTAATATTACTGATTGACATAATTAACATATCAATATTAATACATATAATATTAGAAAATAATATATGTAATATAATAAAACGTTTTTCTTAAATGAGAATAAATTGTTTTTCTGTAATTTATTCAGATCACTTGCAAGCAGTAGTCAAATCAGCTGTCGAACAACTCGATCTCCTGTGCCTTCTTATCAAGTTTCACAATTATTGCTAAGAATTGATGGTGCTAATTTGACATATTCAGAGCCTTTTACTTATACTGCTGATCCAACAATTCGTTATATTCATCCACTGAAAAGCTTTATTAGGTAAAGCATTCTTAAAATACTTTTTAAGAAATATTCTTATTACATATTAATAAAATTACAATATTACAATATTAATTTTCTCAAATATTAAAGAATATTTTTTGGAAATCTTTTGAAAATGTTATATTTTATAATAATAATTATAGAATCTTAATTTCTGTAATAAATTTATTGGAGAAAATTTTCACAACTTTAAAATAATATTTTTAATAATCTTAAACATTTTAAGTTTAATAGAATATACTTAAATACTTCATTAATTTCAGGAACTATATATTTAACATTAAGATATTGATTTTTAATTTCTATATTTTTCAGTGGTGGTCGACCAATAAAAGTATTAGGAACCAATTTAACTTCAATTCAACAACCAAGAATGGTCGTTTTTAATGAACATAGTGTAGTTAATGAAACAGTAAGAATATGATCATATATTTATAAACTTCATTTATGATTTGACTGCTGAACAAGCAATAATTTTAGTTAATTTTATAAAATTTCAAAATATAGTTATATCTGGGATTTAAAATAATTTTTGAATTAAAACAAAATTCTGATTAACTGATTATTATAAATTTTTAGTATATAATATTGTACGAGGGGCAGTCAAAAAGTTCCTGGAATTGTGATCCTGCACTGTAGTGGCACGAGATATGGCAACGCAGACCTAATCAACATAATCACCTTCAAAGTAGGCTCCTCCTGCACAAACACACTTGTTCCATTGATCCTGCTACTGTTGAAAGCTGGTGTGAAGGTTCCAAAAGAATGATTCTTTTGGAACCTTCAAGAGTTGGCCATCATATTCGATATGATGTTCTCCCTGCTCATGAAACACATCTCTTTGAGGTCCATTTCAAGAGTAGGAAACAGCCAAAAGTCACTGGGAACAAGATCTGGAGAGTAAGGTGACTGGTGATGATAGGAATGCTTTTGTTGGTGAGAAATTGCTTCACAAGCAATGTGTGACTTGGTGCGTCGTTGTGATGGAAAAACCACTGTCCATGCCATTTGTTGGTCTGCTTCCTCCATACCGCATCGTGCAACTCTGTAGCAGTTTTCCCCAATTTGCACATGAATTTGATGTTTTTAATGCTGCTCAAACTGGAACATTGTGTCAAATGATAAGCAGTTACAATCAACAAAAATGTTACAGTAACCTTGCACGAGCATTATCACACATCAAATTGACATGCTGTGCTTCCTACCACAGCAATGCACAATCTTATATTGCATTTTCTAATTGTAGGTAAATTCCAGGAACTTTTTGACTGCCCCTTGTATTTGAGAATTAGAAGATCAAAATGGAATATTTCAAATTTGTTAATATCATTTTGAATATCAACAAACAATACTTGATAATATCAGAATTACGAATACAATTTTTTATGCTGTCCTCATTTGAATTTATTTCAAACTTAAAATATTCCATTAAAATAGACATTTTGCATTTTAAATACATTTTAACTTTCTAACTGAATGGTGTTCTTTCTAAATATAGGCTTGCCATGTTATAAATATGTCAACAATGATTTGTCCCTCACCAGCTGTTAGAGCTGAAGCTTATAGAGTTCGAAATAAGCAGAAGTTTGAATATGATGAATTGAGATTGAGAATAGGTTTTGTCATGGATGATGTTCAACCTGTTCGTGAACTTCAGCATTATTTTCCAACCTTGCCTGATGAACTTATATATGTAACAGATCCAAAATTATTTCCACTTAGTAAAAATGGCATTAAATTGTACAAGGGAGAATCTTTGGTTATTGAAGTAAGTTTATTTTTAAATAAAAATGCTTGTTGAAACATTTTATAATTTCTAATGTATACGACTCTCAATTTTGCATTCTGTTTATTTTTAATGTGCTGAATAGATTAAAGTTGATTTTTAGGAAGTAAGCATGTTCTGTAGGTTTCTTAGATCTAAGTTTTCTGATGTTGAAACATTTTATAATTTTAAATGTATACGACTCTCAATTTTGCATTCTGTTTATTTTTAATGTGCTGAATAGATTAAAGTTGATTTTTAGGAAGTAAGTAGTTCATTTTATTTATTTTCAAAGATACTAAGTTTCATTTATATTTAGGTATTACAATAAATATATAATTCTGAAAGTGTGTAATTGTTTTTAATTAATTGTGCATAATTTCTATCAAGAACAAAGCTTTTATACTTGATTATGCTATTTATTTAAGTTTGTTAATTAACAGTCATGGTTTATATTTCTGTAAATGAGGAGCTATGCAAAATCATCCAGACCAATGAATCTAATAAGAGCCATTACTTGTATCAGACTCATGTGCCTCATAATTGTGGTATAATATTCTATGTAAATGAGTATAGATTATGGCTGTCACTTAAAAGCCCAAGTCTTTAACAAATCTATTAGTCTATTTATTTGTTTTTTTTTTTAACTTTTTATTAACATTATTTAATATTTCACTTCTGAAATTTAAATATTTTTGGAAAATATTGCTTAAATTTTATTTTAAAAGTTTNAATAAATACTTTTTAGCAAAATTTAAATGAATAATAAAGACTTTAATGTACTTTAAGATTTGATAACTATTTCATAATTTAACATAATAATTTTATTGAATGATTGAATAACATTACTTTCTATTTGAAAATCAATTACTTTTACAATAATTGATATTAATTGTTTGAAATATTTTTAGGGAGATAATCTATGTCTTGCTAGCACTGAATCAGAAGTTAATGTAACAATCGGGACTCGGCCTTGTAATTTAACATCACTTAGCATGACGCAACTTGTTTGTCTTCCACCAGAAATTCAGCCTCCTGGAACAGATGAAATTGGAAGAAGAACAAGTAATAATTTACCTTCTGTTGTTGTAAGTACTTGGTTTTTTTTCTAATTATTTTAACATAGTACTTTAATAAAATTGCAACTTCAAATATTTAAGAATAAAATTGTTTCTTAAATATTTTCAGGTCATAAATTAGCTCAAATTCACAAAATTGTTCTGTTCCAAATCATACTTAATTCAGAACAAACATTATTCTTAAATTCAAAACTTATTTGATTTTCAATTATCAAACAGTTTTATTTTCAGAAACTAAGTCAACTTTAGTCAATATATAGGTCATTGAGGTAAATCCAGAAAAGTCATCATATAATGAAAAACAATTAAAAATAGAAGGAAAAATTAATATATTTTTATGAAAATTGGTACAAAAGTAGTACACTACATACAAAATGAAAGTATTCTGTATAGCTTCCATCTACACAACCTTCTCTAACCTTGATCTGAACAGCTGCAGATAAGCTTGACCTTACTCCTTGTCCATGTTTATCATCAACTCTGTGATGGAAGCCTTTAGAACATCCTTGGTATTATGATGCTTTGCATTTACCTTTGCCTCGATTATGTTCCACACAAAGTAGTCAAGGAGATTGCCATCAGGGCCACAAGTCAGGATCAGAGCCTGAAGCTTCAGCTTTCTGTTCTTGTTCTTCTCAGTCAAGAGGTGGCAATTCCTCAGGACAAAAGAATGGTATTGTAGTTCCTCATGATCGCCAGACTAATCATTGACCTTGCTATGTCCATTTCTTTTGTGAGGTCACTCATGCTCCACACACCATTCTAATGAATCTTCTCCTTCAATTTGACTATGAATTCTGCATTTCTGAGAATGCTTACTGTAAGTTGCTGAGCCAGGAATTACATTCTCTTTATTGTCAGACTCCCAGAACTTCTTGGCTATGTTGTAAATTTGCATCTTCTTGTAGCCAAACCATGCCATGATTTGTAAGGATAACTTTCTAGCATGAAGCGATTCCAGTATAGAAGCTCTTTGGTCATATTCTTGCAACGTGTCTGAGCAGATGCCAGTTGTTGAGTGATTTGATGCATGCAAATACTTTTGTCAACAGTCTTATTTCCAAAACTGCTTAAGATTGCCCACAAAGAAATTTCAGATTTACCTTGATGACCCTGTTATTTACAATATAACTAATAGTTTATAGTTGGTAATTATTATCTTCATTTGCTATTAAGTATAATAAAATCATTAATCTATAATATATTCAAATATTTTTTAAAAGTATTTGGTAAGAGTATAATTTTGAAAATCATCAAACTTGTTATTTTATGATTAATTATTTTTCTTTGTGTTTTTTGTTATATTAATTAATTTAAACTGTTAAACTTAATGAATCACTAATATCTTTGATTTATTATTAACTATACTATTATATAATTGTAAATTATTATTTATAAAGTTATGCTGTATTTTATTTTATATTGTAATAAAATTGTGTTTAATTTATATCATAAAATTAATAGCCTTATATCAGGCGAATATCCAATGGCTATTCGCCTGAGCTGATAATGGTAGCTTTATGCTATTGAAAGTGCTAGCAAACACATTTATTCTCTAAAATTTGCTATTGGTAACACCACAACATTTAAGTGTAGTTACTTTATATATTTAAAAGTTGGCATGAAGTATAGTCCACTTTTATAACAGCCTAATTAAATGTTTACTTAATTTAGTAAAAGTTAGTAAATTCAGTATATTCATCAGTCAGATTACTTTCACTTCTTTCCAGTAATACAACAGACCTAGCTAAAAAGATGTGAACATCTTTGCTCTAAAATTTATGAATGATCTTGTTAAGTTCTGTTAAGTTCTTAAGGTGTAAAGATCTCTAATCATAGATCGCCGTTTAATATATAACAAAGAAATGGTTATAATGGTTGGACTGGACACCAGTTACGTCCTGCTCGTCTGACTGACCCGAACAAAAGACATCCCTGAATCTCGTGCCCACATGTAGGTGTAACCTGATCGGTTCCAGATTGAACTCCGGTTGTTAGGTTTTTCACACGTGAAAAACACCTGACCCAACAGATCTCTAATATGGGAATACAATATAAAAGCAAATAAATACAGTACTTCAAGGATAAAGTTATTTTCTATCAAATTTCTTTAAGATAATTTATAAATATGGAAATGATCTACATGCAATAAACAACCTAAACAAATTTATTTAAAGAAGTGTATAATTTTCTTTTGGATACAATTACTCAGTTTTCTTTTCAATCATTTCCTTGATCTTGTAAAATGTATTATAATGAGCAAAATTTTGTTCTAAATAATAAAATATTTAGAAGAAATTATATTTATTACTTTACTGAAGTAAAACAGTGAATCTTTATTAGAAATAGATTTAGTTGCTTAGTGAGCAATTTCTGTTTCATCTTTGTCTTGTTCAATCCGTTCATCTTTCTTCACTTATTTTCTTTTAATCTTATTGCATATTTTAACAAATCTCAAAAATACTGTAGTGTAGAGAGCACTGTTACAGTACATATTGGCAGGATATAGTGTATGATTGTATGATTAAAGATAGACTATAAATCTTCTTTAGAATAGTGCACTGTTATGTGGACTACTGTTCTGAAAATGCTGCCAACATGGCACTCATTTAAACTGATTGCTCTATTAACAGGATTTCTGCTAATGTAAAACATAGAGGAGAAAATCAGAAACAGGAAGAGTGCTCTCTTAAACAAACTTCTCTATAAACATATTATTTTCAGAGTTTTAATGTCACTATTTCAATTATTTTGTATTATTCTTCTCTGATAAATATTCTGTTTTCTGATGATATAGCTTAATTTTCAGTCTAATTCCAGATGCCAACTATCTATTATTTACATCTATTTGCTATGCCTAAGCTTGTTTAAGGTGTTAAAAGCAAAACTACATTTTATGAAATAGCTTATAGGAGATGTGCAGTAACAGTTTACCAACTATAATTCAACTCATTTTTGTCAATTAGTGTGTTAATGATTTATAAAACTGAGTAAATTAAATGTAAACTTTATCAATGATTTTCTGAGTAGAGTTTCTCATTCACAATATCTACTGACAGTGACAGCTTGATGGAAACTTGTGCTTGAGAGCAAAACTGACTCTTGCCACCTGTTTCCAGAACACTTATCAGTATAGAACATTTTTAGCACTGGCATTCTTATATGAACTATTTGTAAGTAACTTCAATGTACATTTACAGAACTTCACTATATTCAGCTTATTATTTTTATGTTTACTTTTTCTCCTTTTGAACATTTTGGTGACCCCCTCTTATTTTGTCACTTGAGGCAGTTGCCTTGTTGCATCACTCATTGATTACTGAAATTTTTATAGTTCTTTTCATTTTAATTATAATAATAAAAAATATTTTTTGTTTTTATTAGGTAGATTATTTTGCAAAATTTATATTTTAAACAAATTTTAGTGCATTTATGAATTATTTTAATTCAATTTTCTCTATTATTTTATTTAATATTAAAGAAATGTTTACAATTAATGATGGTTTATTTATTTTTAAGGTGCGTATAGGAAGTAATCTTCGTTATGAAGTTGGCTATTTGAGATATGAAGTAACAAAAACTTATGAATTTCCACCAATAGCCATAGGTGGAATTGCAGCTGGAGGAGCTCTTCTGATGATTTTAACTTTAATTATTTTGGCAGTATTGCGACATAAAAGTTCTCAGGCTGAAAGAGAATATAAAAGAATTCAATTGCAAATGGACACACTAGAAAATAGTGTTAGATCTGAATGCAAACAAGGTTAGATTATTAAATTTATTTATTTTAACATTTAACATTATTTTAAAAACACTATTAGTGATTTTTTTCTATAATAAAAGTTACATTAAGAAAGATCTAAAAGAAATCAATTTGTTAAATATTCAATTATATTGGATATTTAATAAGTTTGAAATGTAGAAACAAGCAAAAAAATTTGCAAAATTTAAAAATTAATACATGTATAAATCATGAATCTTATTATTCCAATTGTCTGTCATCTGTATGTTGGATTACTGAGAATATAAAATATTGACAATTGAAATATTTTATCACTATATCGATTTTTTTAAAAATTGTATTAATTCTAATAAACAGCATGTTGTCTAAAACTTTTTCAACTTGGAACTACTGTTTATTAGTGTGTGCTTACTATTACAGGGCAAATATTGATGGAATAAATCTAGTAATTTTTTCCACTTTATTGTTGTTCAAAAAAAACAATGGAACACTAACACACTTTACTTCAACGTATGGTAAGAGTACAATGCTGAATAGAATGTGCAATTTTTTAATTTAAAATAAATTTTATCTTTCTTCAATAGAAATACTTACTATTAATGTTTCCTCTAAGCTGCGCAGCCATGCACTGCTGAAATTGTTGCTGCACAGGCGAGCATGTGCACTGATTTGAACTGTTGTTTACTAATTTCTCACTCTGTTTGTGACATGATTATTGATACATATATTTCGATTAAATACATTAAATCATTGACAAAAGATAATATTTTGTATGGAAGTATGTTTTAAAATGAATTTTAAGCTTTACTTTATAATTAATTATTTTAGTTTTTAAAGGAAAAAAATTAAATTGTCTACGTGTCTGCTTAGCAAAAAATTTTTTGCTCAGAGAAGTACATATTCCTCTCAGCTACAAAAAAAATTAGAAGGAACATTGCTTATTATTAAAGGACACTATCTATAACTTTTTTCGTCTTGCAACTGTGCTATTTATTAGAACAAATACAGTAATATAATATATTAAAAGTACTTTAACATTTTAATTTGTTTAAGATTTTGTTATTGTATAAATAAAGATTTCATCATTAAGTTCATTTGTAAGTTAATAGTTTCTAAATAATTTATTTTACTTTATAATTATAACATTTTTGGGATAATTACATTTTTTGTCTTTACTGTTTAAAGAGTTTAGAAATAAAATATAGAGTTAAGAATTAGAATATAAGTATATTCAGAAGGAGATTATAATAATTCTATGTTAATTTAAAAATAAATTAAAATAAGATTGTAATATGTTAAAATAAGTGATATAAAATCAAAAGAACAAAAAATAAAAAAGTTTTTATTAAACTGCTTATTGAATTATAATAAGTAATTAATATCAGTTATTATTAAGGTTGATATAGAATGTAAAGGATAAAAGATATGTCAAAGAATGAAAGATATATAAATGAGCATTTTAAAAAATCATATTTCAACAATAAACTGTTGAATTATTATAAATAAATGTTTTGAATTAAATTGAAACATTATTAGATTTTGGGTTCATTTAATTTTGAAAGATAAAAGATCATAAATACGTATGTAATATTTATTTTATCTGTATAAATACATGCAGACAAACCACTCATCATACTTGTATTCTTATAATAATTTTTATTTTGTTATAGATTCTGGAATTAAGATTAGAGTAGAAATATTATTTATGTAAACTGTAATTTTATGATGATAAAATTTGCACAGGTATATATCACAGAAAATTGTTAGAATGAAAATAAAACTTTCACATAACCCATACCAACATATTCATGTATCTCCAGAGTAACCATTGAATGCATGACAGCAGTATGCAGTTTAGATTAGACTATACCATCTCAAACATTAAAACATGATTTTTTTTGTTTTAGTTCCATTAGCAGTTTATTGTAAACATAATTATGAAATAGGTAAAACCGAAAAACAGAATACTGAGACAGAAATTGTAAACTTTGTAAGTGTCAAAAATACAAAATTATCACCAAACCATAAAATTTTTTTATTGTATTGTATCATTTCTGTTATTATGTGTATTTTATATATTATTATAAATTATATTTTATTATTAATTATAAATGCTAAAATAAACTGAAAAATTAAGCAGAAATAATCTTGATACAATTATATCCAATGATACAAATTCAGAGTCTATCATTCAACTGTTATTTACTGTAGAAAACTATGCCTCATTCAATGAAAGATATGCTTCCTTACATAATAAAAATATGATAGATTGTAATGGTCAGGCCATCTAATAAAATGATGAAATTTTTATCTCATTCATCTAATTGTTATTCAGAAAATCACTAAAACACCCTAATATATATATTAGGGTGTTTTAGTGATAATAGTTAATACAATTTTAAATAGCCACTAAAATAATGTGGTACTCTAAACAAATATCTCACAATGTGTTTCTCCTAGCTATGCTTCTTCCTATAAATTTATTGCAGACTTCTTCCAGGTCCAAATTTTCAGCATTGACTTTATGTACATTCAAGATAACATGATTCAATAAAACAAATGGTAAATAATATTATTGGAGTAAGCTACCATGCAAATAGTTCTAAATGACAAAGAAATAAATGATTTTGTGAGTTGAAATTATTGAATAGATCCAAGCCCACAGACCCATATAAGTTAGTGCCATCACTGCCTAAATGCATTTCATTGCTTTGAGTCCATAAACATTTCATAAAGAGTAATGAACATACATCTTTCTTATTTACTTGCATTTTATTTGTTTATATTTCTTTACCATACTTTTATGCCCTTATATTTACTTTTCAAATAAATAAATAAAAACAAGAACTTATACTGGAATGAATAATATAAATAAAATAAAATAAACCTTTAACTATCCAGCAATAAAAAATGTTTAATAAGAATGTTTTCAACCGTTTTTAAACAGCCATCTTCAGTTGAACCAATATTAAAAAAGAACACTAATTTGTATTTCATGCGTTTTTTTTTAATATTGGTTCAACTGAAGATGGCCGTTTAAAAACGGTTGAAAACATTCTTATTAAACATTTTTTATTGCTGGATAGTTAAAGGTTTATTTTATTTTATTTATTTACTTTTCATTTACATGACAGAATTTGTGTGTATGTATTTATTACAAAATGTTTCAATATGTAAAATATTTATAGAAATTTAAATTATAATAATTAATGTTCATAAATGGTGCATAGATACATATATGTAAGTAAATATAATAAGTATTTAAAGAATAAAATGTTTGCATTAAAAATGCTTAAACCATACAAATTTTGGCAATTTTTTAATTTTTAGCTTTTGCTGAACTTCAGACAGACATGTCAGATTTGAACAATGATTTACAAACAACTGGTATTCCAACTTTGGATCATCGTAGTTATATAATGAAAGTATTTTTTCCTGGAGTGACTGACAATCCCATTATTCAAGAATTCAAGGTTTAATTCAAATTTATATATATTATATTGTTAATATCTGTAATATAATATAATAAATTTTAAGTAAATCTCCTAGGTATAATTTATTTATACATTAAATAATATGTTGGAAATTATAACATTAAAATTTTGAAACAAATTTGATTTTTATATTAATTTTTCTGGTATTTAGTGTATTCAGAAAGAAAATGCTTGTTTCTCTCATATTATTATTTATTACAAAGTAACAGTTAAAATAACTGAAATAAGTATATTATAAAAACATAGGGATTAAACATTTTTTGACTTTTTAAAAGTTTTATTCTCATTTTTAAAATTATATGAAGATTATATACTTACAGTTATAACAGTGAAGTTCATATACATAAAAATAAAACTGGAGAAATTAATTTAGTTTAAGATCTTTCTTTTGTATATGAAAACTGATTTAGAAATAAGAGAGTTGTAAAAGAGTAATTATGAGATAGTTTCTAGTTAAAATAATTTTTTAAAAATTTTTTCTAAATATAATAATTTTTCAAACTTACAAATGAAAAAAATTATAATTTTAATTTAGTCCTTGAATAATTTTAAAGATTTATGAAAAATTCAATTGTATTTCTTAGATTTTATTATTTTTCAATATTCTCTATTAGAATAGTAACTATTTCAAAAAGAGTTTATTGGCTTTAGAAAATATACTTATCTTTTCAGCATCAGAGCTAAGAAATTTTTTCAAGAATGTTAACATTCTAATAAGGAATAATGAAAATTTTTTAACATAATCTAGTAAATTGCTGGTGTTTTTGAAAAAAGATTGATTTGTTTCATTAAGAAAACTTATAATAATGCTTTGGAATTTTCTGGTTTTAATTTTTGTTCTTTTTAGCAATTAAATGGACCAAGAAATAATTATGAAGTTGCCATGGCTCAGTTTGATCAATTATTAAATTGTAAAACATTTCTTCTTGCTTTCATTGAATGTTTGGAAGAACAGAAGTCATTTACTATTAGAGATAAGTAAGTTGCTTTTAAATTACATATTTCATTTACAATACATAAAATAAAATGTAATAATTTTTAAATATTAAACTATGCATTTATAGATATTTCTTTTATTCTAAATCAAAAGGTATAATACAATATTATTTTAAATAAACACATACCTTGAACCTGTTACCGGTATGGGTGATATGACGGATAAATATATTACAAATGTTTTTGAACATTAATAGTTCTTCCTCAGCGATAGAAAAAACAAGCGATGAAACATAAAACAAAAATAGAACGTGTATATTTAAAATAGAATCGAATCCACATTTCGTGCAAAATCATTGTGTTGGACATATGCATTCCATGCATATTCTATTTTTGTTCTACGTTCCATTGCTTGTTTTTTCTATCACTGAGGAAGAACTATTAAGACTTACCCTGCTACGAACATAATATTATGTTTTTCTATATAAAAAGTTATTTCTAGCTTGAAAATGTAACATTATGTTTTCAGCAATGAAAATACAATTTATTTGTGTATTTTAGTGTGTCTGTTAATAAATAGTGGTCACTATTTATTTAGAAATTTGAAATATAAGCAATTTTTTACAACCGCAATCATTGTCTGATTCGAAGTTTTGTCACCATATTTTGCAAGCAAATTTCGAGTCATTTTATTTTTTATGTGAGTTAAGTTTAGATATGGTGCATTAAAGTACTAACTAATAATTGTTTGAAATCATTAATAAAAAATCAACAAATATAGTGCTGATTATATTGATTTATCTGACAAAAATGTCACGATTATTATTTAGGCTTAACTGAGATAAAAAAAAAATAGAAATAAGCCATGTAACTTTGTTATTACTTTAAGCCTGTATATTTTTATATGATATTACATAATTTGTATACTTTTTAGATATTATCAATACAAAAGTTGAATTCTTAAATTTCTGATAGTGCTATTGCCATCTTATGTACATTTGCCGAACCAACTCAATTATGAAAAACAGCTACAGTCAGAAAAAAGTCTACTAATAATATTGATACAATACATCATTATTTTGAATAAATTCATCAATATACTATATATTTCATACATAAAAATACAAATTTTAAAGCTATATAGCAGTTTATAATTTTTCTCATTTTATCTTTATCTCTCAAACATGTCTAAACAACATTAAAGTATAATACATAAAAATAAAGCACACACACACCAAATTGAGTAACATACAGATAAATGTTCATAATATCAGACACTCTTTTTATTTTTTACCTAGCTTTAGTCAATCGTTTTTTATTTTTAGTAAAAAATACTGTAAAATCACTTAAATCAGTCAGCAGACAGGTCAACTGGACCAGCAGGGTAATTAATGTTTGAAAATGTTTGCAATATATTTATCCGTCATATCATCCACACCAGTAACAGGTTCAAGGTACGTGTTGATTTCATCCTGGTGTTCTTTGGATGTAGAAGTTTATTTTAAATAATTGAAAACATTAATAATTCATCATATTATATTTCGTTGGTATTTAATTTTATAAATATTACAGAAAAATTAATAAGAAAAATAAATTAAAACAATATTTTATTGATTTTTAATAAAATTATAATAATTATAAATTGAATTCTCTCGGATATTAATGCTTTGTTATTAAAAATGTTAACAAAGAAGATATTAGCATATTTTGTCAGATATATTATTATATTTTTTAATATTTTCATAATCAAATTTTGTGTGTAAATATATTAATAGTTTTTGCATTTTAATAATTTATTTCAGAGTGAATGTTGCTTCCTTATTAATGATTATATTTCTTGAAAGAATGGAATATGCTAAAGAGTAAGTTAATGATAAACTGTGTATCAAGTTTATATATTTACTCGAAAATAGTTTTTATTAAAATATTAAAATAAAATTATATGTATTAATGTGAAATTCAGTCTTCCATTTAGAAAGCTTTAAAATTTTGTAATTAAGATGATGAAATTATTTCATATAAATTTTATGTTTTGAATTAATTTTCTGTAAAATGAAATAAATTTTTTATGACCAAGAATTAGAAATCATATTATATTATGAAGCTAATTATTAATAAACTTCAAATCACAGAATTCTAAAAACAATTCAAAGTAATTGGTCATAAAATATACTGTAGTTGTTTTAAATTAATTAAATTTAATCATTTTTGTGCCTATATTTTATATTAGGTATTATTACAATAATCAAACTCTGATTTTGATTTATTTATTTTATTTTAACTCAACTATGCACTGAAATAAACTTTTCTTAAATATTGTTATTGTATAATAAACAAAAGTAATAAATATTTAATAATAAAAATTTTTGTTTTTTGTAAAATATTATGTCTTATTAAATATTTATATATACGAGGTGATTGCAATTAAAGTAGACCTATTTAAAGCTGTCTGCAAAGATTTAGCAGTTCAAATGCATTCAAATCTGTTATAGTGACATTTCTGGAGCCACATGGAAGACTTCACTAGAAATGCAGATCCTGCTTTACTTAACAAAAGGAAAAAATTAGTACTAGAACTCACCATTGTATCATTTTTGGCATTGCAAACAACAAAAAAGCAGTATCTTTTGCATAAGCATAAGTTTTACAACAAGTTCTGGGTATAAAAGTGGTCATACTATTGAATGTTATTCTTGTAACATGGTAATGGACTCTGAAGTACCCAAAAGAGAACAGAGTCAAAAGTTCAAAATGTTTGAATACATAATAAGTAACTTTTATTACAAGTGCACAATACAATGTACATATTGCAGATTGTTCAATAAATCCATCATAAATGTTTTTAAAACAATGTTTTGAAGTTCAAAGAAATAAATTATAATTTTTTTTTTTGTCAGTGAGGGAGGGCTTAAGCTTTTGTAGTTCTCCTTTTGGATCTGTAACTTATAAGCTGCAATTGCCATCACTTTAGCAGGATCTGCATTTCTAGTGAAACTATTATATGAAAACAATAGCAATGCAGTGACTACACTTCAGAAATTTTGTTTGTTCTCCAGATCTTAATGTGTGTGTGGATTTTGGTTGTGAAGCCACTGAAAAATTGTGGCAGGTATGACAGTCTAGCTTGAAAGATGGTATCACATTGTCTGTGAGAAGAATCACTCAGGATCAATTTTAGTCAGTCATTAAAGATATTGTACAGTACATCTCCCTCAGGTTTTATACCTTCATAATGGGGATCAATTGAGCAGTAGCATAGATTACTAAGATCTCGGTATAGCATGAATGTCTTATACAAATAAAATGTATATTTCTTGCAGAGCTAAAAATTCCTTAGTAGTGAGTACCAGTACTAATTTTTTTTATGGAAATGTCTTCTGTTCCTGAAATATCACCATACCAGATTTGCATTTGGACTGCTATATCTTTCTGTAGGTAGCATTGATTAGACATACTTTAATTATGATCATCTGGTATATGCAAAATATCTAAGTTTAAATAACCAATATATATTATAAAGGTAAGTGTACAATGTGCGTGCCGCTAAAACTCAAAAACGAGTCCTGGTATGATCAAGGGAGTTATATGGTGTGGTAGCCCTCTATCTCCCATCCATGAAGAAAGTTCCCATTTTTACCTGAAGGGAGTGCTGTTGAAGATATAAAGGCTGAAAGTTTCATCCTCTAGAAATTTCTAGAACAGTCCAGAATATTCTAGGGTATTTGAGAGCATTCCACAACATTCCAGAATGTTCTGGAACATTCTGGAATGTTGGGGAACATCCCAGATCATTGTGGAACATTTCAGAACACTCTCGAATGTTGTGGAATGTTCTGGAACATTGTGGACCATTCGAAGCCTTTTTTGTATGGATGGGACTACTCATTGGTGGTGGTATATAAAGCAAGATCCTTCGTGGGTTCAAACGCCAGTTTCTTATCAGTGACAAAGGGAAGAACTGAAAAAGAAGTGAAAATTCCAAAGTAGTGCAATGAGTGAATATAAACAAGGAATGCCATTACACTGCCTTCGACTGAAAATTGGATCTCTGATCATACTACTCAGAAATCTGAACTCACCAAAACTATGTAATGGAACAAGGATGATCGTCAAACAGCTATTGAATAATGTCATTGAAGCTGAACTTATGGCTGGAAAGGGCAAAGGATACACAGTATTTATCCCCAGAATACCACTGATCTCTACTGAACTGCCATTCCAATTTAAAAGACTGCAATTTCCAATCAAATTAGCTTATAGTTTTACAATTAACAAAGTGCAAGGACACACTTTAAAACATTGCAGCATCAACCTCAAAGACTCCTGCTTCTCTCACGGTCAGCTATACGTAGCTTGCTCTCGAGTAGGAAATTCGAAAAATTTGTACATATATACCCTGGATAACAAAATGCAAAATGTTGTTTATAAACAAGTATTGTAAATAGTTAGAATATGTTTTCAATAAAATTTTTTTACCTCATATTTTAAAGTTTATCTTTTTATTCCAACTACCACACAATCTCATATCAACTCTCTGAGCGAAGCTGGGTACCCCAGCTAATTAAAAATAAAATAAAACATAATGCTTTAAAATTGTTTATATAAAAATTATTTTTTAAATATTTTTAGTTTGTATTTTTATTATTTAAAAAATATATAAAATAATAAAGTGTATTACACTATTAATTTGATTTTAGTCTTTATACTTATTTGTATTTTTTAGCATATTAAAAATCATGGAATTAACAAAACTGAAAATTTTACATATTGAAGTTTTAGTTTATTTTAGTCCTTTCACCAGGAATTAATCTTTGGGGTCTAGAAGGGCAAATTGAAAAAATTTAACTTTTTTTTTCATTTTTTGCAGCTAGCATTAGGCCTATTAGCTATAGTTTAGGTGTAAAAATAAGTAACAGTAGTCTAAGTTTATATAATGAAAGCAAAAGCATATATTATATATATTGTATATGTGAAGAAAACTGGGAAAACTTCACATAACCAGCCACCAACAGGCTGGTTATGTGAACAAGGTACAAATCCACAACCAGCTACAAGTATTCAGTGGTTTTATCCACTCTGTCACTGATGGGCATGGGGAGGACACTACTGACTAAGTAATGTCCCTCACCTTATATGTAGCATGTTTATGTAGCATGGTGTAAATAATTACAATGGTAGGCCTATAATTTAAATTTGAAAAGTTAAAAGAACTGGCAACATTTAAATGGGAAAAACAATGTGTTAGCCACTGAACTTTGAACTATTACAATTATTTGTGTGTTTTATCATGTGTTTTTATTGTTTGTCAGGACAAGTTTTACTATTCTCCCATCAGTGTTTAAATTAAAAAATAAAATAAATAAAAGTGTTTGGAACAAGGCTTCCTTATACTATGTGGTTTTAGGAATATAGGTCACTTGTCTGGCCATAAAGAGTCACCAGGCTGAGAAAAGGGATCAAAATTTGCAAAACATTAGACTATGTATTTTTTGGATGTTTCCCAATTTTCAATATTTTCTGATTTAATAGTTAAAATCCTTTAACTATCACATAGTATTTTACATTATATATTTGTTGTTAATTTTTCTTTTCAAATTAGTTAATAACTATTACTTAATAAATTTTTTTAGTGTTCTGAAAGAACTATTGTTGAGGTTAATTGATAAATATGTTGGAACCAAACACCCACAATTAATGTTAAGAAGGTAATTTTTTTTATAGCTACATCTAATAAATTTGTTATACCATATTCTAAACTTAATAGTATCATTTTTTTTAATTTCAGGACAGAAAGTGTTGTAGAAAAAATGCTTACAAATTGGATGGCTCTTTGTATGTACAACTATATAAAAGTTAGTAATGTGTACTACAATATATAACTGTACGCCTTTAAATTGTTAAATTTTATGTAGTCCTATAATTAGGGTTGCCATATGTCCCATATATATGGGACTGTCACTGTATTTCACTACTCAGTCCCGTATTATTATTTGTTCCATTTTCTCCCCAAACTCTGCGTGAGGTGGCCGGCGCACAGCAGAGCCCAGGAAATAGAACATACTATTGCATATTTACAAGTAAGAAATATCGATATCGGCAATACTGCGATTCTATTCAGCTACTTTGTACAGGGTGATTCAAAAGTCGCAGAAATTTTAAAAACTTAATAACTCACAAACTATTCACAGTAAGATGATGCAGTTTTCACAGAAATGATTAGAAAGAAGCATGATTTTTTTTTTTATGTGTAATAAAAATTTTAATTCCAAACTAGTTACATTTCTTGCCATAGATGGCACTGTAGGAAACTGAAAGCATTTGTAATTTGTTAAAATAAGAATAAAAAATAAAAATGTTATTAGTGTAAGCTCTAGTAACAACTACAGAAATTATGTAATCTTATCAAGTGCCATCTATGACAAGAAATGTACTATATTGGTAGTAAAATTTTTATTACAGATAAAAAATCCCACTTATTTCTAAGCATTTCTGTGAAAACCGTATCATCTTACTGTAAATAGTTTGTGAGTTATTAATTTTTTAAAATTTTTATGACTTGAATCACCCTGTATATCTAAAAGTCTATTTAGAGAAAAATAATATCAACCAAAAGTATGAAGCAACTATGAAATTGAGTATGGGAGAGAAATAGCTGAAGTTTTTTGCAGATACAAAGCATATTGATCAGAAGTCATGTCTAATAAAGTTATGCAAATACGTATTTGCTATTCCAACCCACAATGCAAATGTGGAGAGAATATTTTCCCTAATGTCAACTCAATGGTCGGACGAAAGAAACAGGTTGTCAGTGGAGACAATTGAAGCTATTTTGATTTGTCATTATAATTTTATAATGACTTGCATCCTATTTTAAAATTATGTGAAAGAAGAAAATGATATAATTAGGAAAGTAAAATCAACTTTAAAATATGACTGGGCTAAAAAGGATTAGCCTTGAATCTTTTTTTATTATTCTATGTGTTCATTTTATTAGATTGCTTACGCTTTATTGATTTTTTATCAGAGTAAAATAAACCATTACCTATCCACTTTTTCATGTTTTATTTATTTAGCACTTAAGTGAATACCCCATATCCATGCTTGGCAATTATGGCAACCCTACCTATAATATAAATATTTTTTTTAATGTATAGAAATACATATTATTTATACAGCAGATTAATTGCACAAACTGAGTAAAAATTTCTGAATATTTGGGAACTTTTGAGCTTAGTTGTCCAAAGAAAGAATGTAAGGGAGAGAGTAATGAATACGTAAAAGCAATTTTTAGACATTATGTGATTATTGTAAGAAATTTAACATAATTTCAGTATTAAATAAGAATATTATCAATATTTATTAGCATTCTAAGAAATTCAGAAAAACATATAAGACATTAATATTTACATGTAATCATTAACATACGTGTGATAACATACATATAATATAACATACATATAACATAACATACATATTTAATATTAAATATTATCACATGTATGTTAATAAAAGATTACTGAATTCTGAATTGAAACTGCTTTATTATAAACAATTGCAATTGTTTATTTTTATACAAGAATTTGGCAGGAATGTTTTCAAATAAGAGTTTAACAGTGAATTGAATTAATAATAAAGAGTTACTTTTAAAATTGCATTAGGATTAAACTTTTCTTCTTAAACTACACATATTTTTATGCTTATTACAAGTTTATGTTGTAATTACAATAGTATATCTTTTTCCAGGAGATGTTTTCTTTTTAGTCATAAATAGGAAATAAGATGAAAAAGAACATATTACTCCAGGTGAAATATAAATTGCACTATAAACATATTGACCAGTGTTGGTAACAGCTAGCATTAGGCCTATTAGCTATAGTTTAGGTGTAAAAATAAGTAACAGTAGTCTAAGTTTATATAATGAAAGCAAAAGCATATATTATATATATTGTATATGTGAAGAAAACTGGGAAAACTTCACATAACCAGCCACCAACAGGCTGGTTATGTGAACAAGGTACAAATCCACAACCAGCTACAAGTATTCAGTGGTTTTATCCACTCTGTCACTGATGGGCATGGGGAGGACACTACTGACTAAGTAATGTCCCTCACCTTATATGTAGCATGTTTATGTAGCATGGTGTAAATAATTACAATGGTAGGCCTATAATTTAAATTTGAAAAGTTAAAAGAACTGGCAACATTTAAATGGGAAAAACAATGTGTTAGCCACTGAACTTTGAACTATTACAATTATTTGTGTGTTTTATCATGTGTTTTTATTGTTTGTCAGGACAAGTTTTACTATTCTCCCATCAGTGTTTAAATTAAAAAATAAAATAAATAAAAGTGTTTGGAACAAGGCTTCCTTATACTATGTGGTTTTAGGAATATAGGTCACTTGTCTGGCCATAAAGAGTCACCAGGCTGAGAAAAGGGATCAAAATTTGCAAAACATTAGACTATGTATTTTTTGGATGTTTCCCAATTTTCAATATTTTCTGATTTAGTAGTTAAAATCCTTTAACTATCACATAGTATTTTACATTATATATTTGTTGTTAATTTTTCTTTTCAAATTAATTAATAACTATTACTTAATAAATTTTTTTAGTGTTCTGAAAGAACTATTGTTGAGGTTAATTGATAAATATGTTGGAACCAAACACCCACAATTAATGTTAAGAAGGTAATTTTTTTTATAGCTACATCTAATAAATTTGTTATACCATATTCTAAACTTAATAGTATCATTTTTTTTTAATTTCAGGACAGAAAGTGTTGTAGAAAAAATGCTTACAAATTGGATGGCTCTTTGTATGTACAACTATATAAAAGTTAGTAATGTGTACTACAATATATAACTGTACGCCTTTAAATTGTTAAATTTTATGTAGTCCTATAATTAGGGTTGCCATATGTCCCATATATATGGGACTGTCACTGTATTTCACTACTCAGTCCCGTATTATTATTTGTTCCATTTTCTCCCCAAACTCTGCGTGAGGTGGCCGGCGCACAGCAGAGCCCAGGAAATAGAACATACTATTGCATATTTACAAGTAAGAAATATCGATATCGGCAATACTGCGATTCTATTCAGCTACTTTGTACAGGGTGATTCAAAAGTCGCAGAAATTTTAAAAACTTAATAACTCACAAACTATTCACAGTAAGATGATGCAGTTTTCACAGAAATGATTAGAAAGAAGCATGATTTTTTTTTTTATGTGTAATAAAAATTTTAATTCCAAACTAGTTACATTTCTTGCCATAGATGGCACTGTAGGAAACTGAAAGCATTTGTAATTTGTTAAAATAAGAATAAAAAATAAAAATGTTATTAGTGTAAGCTCTAGTAACAACTACAGAAATTATGTAATCTTATCAAGTGCCATCTATGACAAGAAATGTACTATATTGGTAGTAAAATTTTTATTACAGATAAAAAATCCCACTTATTTCTAAGCATTTCTGTGAAAACCGTATCATCTTACTGTAAATAGTTTGTGAGTTATTAATTTTTTAAAATTTTTATGACTTGAATCACCCTGTATATCTAAAAGTCTATTTAGAGAAAAATAATATCAACCAAAAGTATGAAGCAACTATGAAATTGAGTATGGGAGAGAAATAGCTGAAGTTTTTTGCAGATACAAAGCATATTGATCAGAAGTCATGTCTAATAAAGTTATGCAAATACGTATTTGCTATTCCAACCCACAATGCAAATGTGGAGAGAATATTTTCCCTAATGTCAACTCAATGGTCGGACGAAAGAAACAGGTTGTCAGTGGAGACAATTGAAGCTATTTTGATTTGTCATTATAATTTTATAATGACTTGCATCCAATTTTAAAATTATGTGAAAGAAGAAAATGATATAATTAGGAAAGTAAAATCAACTTTAAAATATGACTGGGCTAAAAAGGATTAGCCTTGAATCTTTTTTTATTATTCTATGTGTTCATTTTATTAGATTGCTTACGCTTTATTGATTTTTTATCAGAGTAAAATAAACCATTACCTATCCACTTTTTCATGTTTTATTTATTTAGCACTTAAGTGAATACCCCATATCCATGCTTGGCAATTATGGCAACCCTACCTATAATATAAATATTTTTTTTAATGTATAGAAATACATATTATTTATACAGCAGATTAATTGCACAAACTGAGTAAAAATTTCTGAATATTTGGGAACTTTTGAGCTTAGTTGTCCAAAGAAAGAATGTAAGGGAGAGAGTAATGAATACGTAAAAGCAATTTTTAGACATTATGTGATTATTGTAAGAAATTTAACATAATTTCAGTATTAAATAAGAATATTATCAATATTTATTAGCATTCTAAGAAATTCAGAAAAACATATAAGACATTAATATTTACATGTAATCATTAACATACGTGTGATAACATACATATAACATAACATACATATTTAATATTAAATATTATCACATGTATGTTAATAAAAGATTACTGAATTCTGAATTGAAACTGCTTTATTATAAACAATTGCAATTGTTTATTTTTATACAAGAATTTGGCAGGAATGTTTTCAAATAAGAGTTTAACAGTGAATTGAATTAATAATAAAGAGTTACTTTTAAAATTGCATTAGGATTAAACTTTTCTTCTTAAACTACACATATTTTTATGCTTATTACAAGTTTATGTTGTAATTACAATAGTATATCTTTTTCCAGGAGATGTTTTCTTTTTAGTCATAAATAGGAAATAAGATGAAAAAGAACATATTACTCCAGGTGAAATATAAATTGCACTATAAACATATTGACCAGTGTTGGTAACACATATCATTGCATGAATGTTTTTGGGCTCCTCCAGATAACTGCTTCAAGTGAATCTTGCTGTTTCGTTGAGTTAATGGACATTCAAATTTTTATGTTTGAAATTGTGTTCCATCAATGAAACAGTGAGATTCACCTGAAGCAGGACTCTGGAGGAATCTGAAAACGTTTGTTCAATGTGTATGTGTTACTGACACTGGTCAACAAGTTTATAGTGCAATTTAAATACAGAATGTTTTTATGTTTTGGTGATGATCATATATTATAAATAGTAATTATCCACAGTGTTTTATTATTATTAGTGTTCTTTTTTCTAATTATTGTACTTTTGAAATTTCTGTATTACTAATAAAATAAGCTCCAAAATAGCATTGATTAAAGTCAAGTTCATAGTTCATTAATTACTGTTTCAGTTGTATCTTATTCAAAATAAAAATTTGGCAAATTAATTTAAATTATATATCCAAATTANCATGATTTTTTTTTTGTGTAATAAAAATTTTAATTCCAAACTAGTTACATTTCTTGCCATAGATGGCACTGTAGGAAACTGAAAGCATTTGTAATTTGTTAAAATAAGAATAAAAAATAAAAATGTTATTAGTGTAAGCTCTAGTAACAACTACAGAAATTATGTAATCTTATCAAGTGCCATCTATGACAAGAAATGTACTATATTGGTAGTAAAATTTTTATTACAGATAAAAAATCCCACTTATTTCTAAGCATTTCTGTGAAAACCGTATCATCTTACTGTAAATAGTTTGTGAGTTATTAATTTTTTAAAATTTTTATGACTTGAATCACCCTGTATATCTAAAAGTCTATTTAGAGAAAAATAATATCAACCAAAAGTATGAAGCAACTATGAAATTGAGTATGGGAGAGAAATAGCTGAAGTTTTTTGCAGATACAAAGCATATTGATCAGAAGTCATGTCTAATAAAGTTATGCAAATACGTATTTGCTATTCCAACCCACAATGCAAATGTGGAGAGAATATTTTCCCTAATGTCAACTCAATGGTCGGACGAAAGAAACAGGTTGTCAGTGGAGACAATTGAAGCTATTTTGATTTGTCATTATAATTTTATAATGACTTGCATCCAATTTTAAAATTATGTGAAAGAAGAAAATGATATAATTAGGAAAGTAAAATCAACTTTAAAATATGACTGGGCTAAAAAGGATTAGCCTTGAATCTTTTTTTATTATTCTATGTGTTCATTTTATTAGATTGCTTACGCTTTATTGATTTTTTATCAGAGTAAAATAAACCATTACCTATCCACTTTTTCATGTTTTATTTATTTAGCACTTAAGTGAATACCCCATATCCATGCTTGGCAATTATGGCAACCCTACCTATAATATAAATATTTTTTTTAATGTATAGAAATACATATTATTTATACAGCAGATTAATTGCACAAACTGAGTAAAAATTTCTGAATATTTGGGAACTTTTGAGCTTAGTTGTCCAAAGAAAGAATGTAAGGGAGAGAGTAATGAATACGTAAAAGCAATTTTTAGACATTATGTGATTATTGTAAGAAATTTAACATAATTTCAGTATTAAATAAGAATATTATCAATATTTATTAGCATTCTAAGAAATTCAGAAAAACATATAAGACATTAATATTTACATGTAATCATTAACATACGTGTGATAACATACATATAACATAACATACATATTTAATATTAAATATTATCACATGTATGTTAATAAAAGATTACTGAATTCTGAATTGAAACTGCTTTATTATAAACAATTGCAATTGTTTATTTTTATACAAGAATTTGGCAGGAATGTTTTCAAATAAGAGTTTAACAGTGAATTGAATTAATAATAAAGAGTTACTTTTAAAATTGCATTAGGATTAAACTTTTCTTCTTAAACTACACATATTTTTATGCTTATTACAAGTTTATGTTGTAATTACAATAGTATATCTTTTTCCAGGAGATGTTTTCTTTTTAGTCATAAATAGGAAATAAGATGAAAAAGAACATATTACTCCAGGTGAAATATAAATTGCACTATAAACATATTGACCAGTGTTGGTAACACATATCATTGCATGAATGTTTTTGGGCTCCTCCAGATAACTGCTTCAAGTGAATCTTGCTGTTTCGTTGAGTTAATGGACATTCAAATTTTTATGTTTGAAATTGTGTTCCATCAATGAAACAGTGAGATTCACCTGAAGCAGGACTCTGGAGGAATCTGAAAACGTTTGTTCAATGTGTATGTGTTACTGACACTGGTCAACAAGTTTATAGTGCAATTTAAATACAGAATGTTTTTATGTTTTGGTGATGATCATATATTATAAATAGTAATTATCCACAGTGTTTTATTATTATTAGTGTTCTTTTTTCTAATTATTGTACTTTTGAAATTTCTGTATTACTAATAAAATAAGCTCCAAAATAGCATTGATTAAAGTCAAGTTCATAGTTCATTAATTACTGTTTCAGTTGTATCTTATTCAAAATAAAAATTTGGCAAATTAATTTAAATTATATATCCAAATTAAAGATTTTATATATTCTGCTTTTTTTAATTTTTAATATAGCTAGAAAATGTTAGTATTTCACTCAGAATTCAAATGATAAGACTGAATTAACTGTTGGTTTAAAACTTGGCTAGTTAATTTCTAGCTTGATACTTAAACTGTTTTACCATTTGATCATTATAATAATTCAAGCTTTGTTTTCTATATGTATTTATAATCAAAATTCAATAATAAGTTTCATTACAATGATCTAAGTGACAAATGATTACATAAATTCAAATGCAAAGATAATAGTTTATGATTTTAATATTATAAATAATAAATTTAAAAAATTTTATTAACTTATTGAATATATTTAATAGATTGCCGTGAATATTCTGTAATTTTAGTCTAATTTGGTACTGATACATTAGATTTTATTTTCATTTTAATATGTTAGATTTCACAATTTTTTTTTATATTTTAAGTGAAAATAGTGATATTAAGTAATTTCTATAAACTATATTTTCAGTTTATAAAAATTAATATTTTTATTGCTTTTAAAATATAATTGCTATAGCATTATTTTATATATTTATATTTCAAGCATGAGTTGGAATTTTTGTTTTAAAAAGATATATAAAATTATATTATCAATACAGAATGCTCAATTCAGGTAGCCAAATGTTTAATTTAAGAAGTTTATTTGGAAACTGAAGCAGTCCTAAAACAGGATGAAAACATTCCTTCTTGATAAATTAAACATTTGGCTACCTGAAATAAGCATTCAATATCAATATGGAACCAGAAATTATAAAGTTATTGATGATTAGATTATATTGTGTCATTTGAGAATAAATTTTTCTTTTATACTTAATGATATGAATGTGAAAAATTCATATCATTTGCAGCAAAATTATTTTTTAGGTATAACTTAAAATATAACTTAAATAGTTTTATTTACATTTGATTTGTAAAAATTTACATTTTTTAAAATTTTTGTAAAAAATTATAAATATACCTGTAATAAAGTTAGGGAAGCATTAACTTTTTCAGAAGTAAATATATCTTATTTAAAAAAAAAAAAAATTAATTAAAAATGAGTTGCATATTATCTGACAGCTATATATTAATCAATCTTATATTATCTTTGAAAATATTTATCAAAATTTGTTTAATAATAATAGTGATATTAGGTAATTTCTATAAACTGTATTTTCAGTTTATAGAAATTACTGTATATAATAGGTAGATAATGGTGTATGCATATTATTATTGAAGAATATTCAATGATATATTGTACTGTAGTTATTAGACAATATAGTGGTAATTAAATTAAAGGAATAGTAAATTTAAATTTAATAAATTTAACTTTTTACATAATATTAATGATAATATTGGAGCAGTAAAAACATATTCAATTTAATATTAAATAATTTTTTGCAGGATTATGCTGGAAGTTCATTATTCTTGCTGTTTAGTGCAATTAAACATCAAGTTGAGAAGGGTCCAGTTGATGCAATTACTCATGATGCTCGTTATTCACTTTCAGAAGAAAGATTACTAAGAGAACCAATAGATTATGTTACTGTTGTAAGTATAAAAATAATATTAATTCTCAGTTTAAAATCGTTTTTAATTTGATATATATTTTTTTGTAGTGAATATTATTATATTAGTTGAAAAACAATAATTAAAATTAATTATTCAGAAACTATAAAAATTGTCCATTCAAAAATTCAAATTCTTTGGAATTCTACTAATTCTAAAGAAAAATTTGTTCTAAACTCTTTTGAATTCTAATCATATGAACACATGAATAAAAAATATACTGCAATTTGGAAATTTAATTTTATAAAACAAATACATTAAGATTTAACTATTACAGAACTCCAGCATTAACTTAGATATTCAGTCCAAAAAAACAGTTGATGAATATTTATCTTTAATCTTTATTTTAAATTTAAAAAATTGTATTTACAAATGATATAAAATATAAATTTCATATTGATTAATAAAAAAATAATAATAAAAATTCTCTATAAAATATCTGATCACAAATAATATCTCAGATGATTTTAACAACTGATGTTATATTATTATACTAACATGCCAAATATATTGTTCAGTTCTTTTAATGAATTGTAAATTTTACAAATCTGTACATGCTGTATTATATGCTTTCTTTCTATGAACAAACAAGTCATTTATTTTATATTTCTTTTGCACATTACATAATTGAATTGTAATGAGTTAAATGTAAACAAGCAATTATTTATTGTGACATCCAATGCCAAGCTGCAATTTTTAATTTATTTAATTTAAAATATGTGCTCTCTATCTCAAATTAGTGGCTTTCCCCTGTATATCATACTTTTCCGTTAAGAATAGTCATGTTGGTCATCTAGCTAACACCTTTCAGGGGAAAAGTTTTGAACTGAAATAATGTGACTTCTGGTTTCCATCAGAAGTTCATGTATAGTTAATCAGAGCCTTCTACCCTTAATGTTTCTATATCTGGTCTCATCTTTCATCTATCTAACTCTATTTTCAAGATTAAAGAAGGACAGACAGACAGACAGATGACAGTGGGAATTTATAGATCTACAATTTTTTCAAATTGCAGCCTAATCAAAGATCTTAATGACATTATAATAAACTTTCCTAAAGATTTTCTTAAGCTAAAATTTGAAATATTCTAACTTAGTTTTCAGTAACAATTTTATGTAATTTTATCAAATTCAGTTTTTGCTTTGTTAAATTATAATTAATTCAACAAATTTCCAAAATTGAAACATTCGCCACAACAAAAACTGAATATTTAGAATAAAACTACACACAAAATTCCATTAAAACCAGCAAAAGTACCTTGAATCTTTGGATTTAAATATATTCAACAGTTTGATCTGTTTTCCTTATGGCATATCTGATGATATTTATTACAGATGGATAAAAATGTTTGTGTAAATAAATAATTTTTATTCCTTTTATTGGTTTTTATGATATTGTGTGTGTAGTTTTATTCAAAAAAATTTGTTTTTGAATATATTTTGTTTCAATTCCCACAGTTTATATAAGCATATTATTGCCTAAGTTGAGCCATACTAAATAGATGACTCTATTTTATTTATTTCTATATTTAAATTGATTTGATTTTTATATGTTGTTTTATTATTAAACAAAACTTATTTGATGAAATAAGAGGTAATGATATTTTGCATAATTATAACTAATTTATAAAAATTTTGTTTTAAACTAGACTATACAAGTAATTCAAGAAGATCAAGATGAAAAAGTTCTATGCAAAGTAAATGATTGTGNTATCTTCGGAATACCGACCAATCATCGGCCAGTAACTCTTTCGTGAGAACGGATGAAAGGGGAATGAATGAGGGGTAACCATTTCCCATCTGAGCAGGATTTTAACCAGATAAGGGAAAGTCAGAGGATGTACTAACTTCAGTGAAAGGAAGTGACATCTGTTATCTGCCTATTCCCACGTTAAAACAGTATTTTTCTCACCAAAAATGAAGTAATATTTGGTGACATTATTTTAACATTATTAATAAAATATTAATTTAGACCCAGGGGCCTTTCGGGCCAGGGACCTTGTCTCACACATTTATTGAAAGAAAATTATGCAATATACATTGTTAAAGAAGAGTGAATCATCCTCATCTTTTCTTCTAGTGTAAAATGAATTAACCTGTAATGCAAATTCGATTTGTAGGGGGGATGTCTCAAACAACCAAACAATATGCCAAATTTTTGGGCTATGTAAAGGTTATAATTAAATATTAGAAATTAATTAATTTGACTAGAGGTAGGCATTTATGCTTCCATCTCATATTAAATTTAATAATTATAAATAATTAATTTTTAATTTAGACATTTCTAAACTTTAATTTGGAATTGTTCATTAAATTTAATAACTACTTCTTAAGTAGAAATAAGTTGAAACTGGTTACTTTGTACTCGAATATTTGTAGTCTTGGGAAATAAGTGGAAAAACAAATTTTTATGACAACGGATACATAAATCGTAAATTTAAGGAAAATAAATTCTAGAGGTTTTTTATACCTTGTGCATCTTTCATTGAATTTAGTTGTAAATGATGCTGCCAAAGTAACAGTTAATTTTTTAACATTGTACAAGAAGTGTGCAAGTTTTTTTTGCATCCCCTTATAGATGGGATATACTAAATTGTAATATTACTAGTTTAACATTGAAATCTGTAAGTAATACAAAATGGGAGAGCAGAATAAAAGCAGAATAAATATATCAAATACTTCAATGGATTTTTTTAAACTCTCGTCAATTATACAGAACTATCATAAAAACATACCAGTAAACTCCTATCGGTTGGGTTAAGTTATAAATCTACTCGCTGTTCACATAATGGGGCAAGGGTGGCCAAATATCTAGCATGCAGCCCAGAACCAATCTTTGGGTAGAATTATTGGAAGCGTTATATGATATTTTGGTGTGTAGCATCCACCTGCTAAACTGCATGAGGTTGGTGCTCTGTAAAGCGCATGTGCAAAATGTGTATAATCTGGCTGCTTGGAAGCTGTCCCATATTCAACAATACAGCGCTTCCATTCCACCACTGATATTTGAATATACAATAGCAATCTTATCGTTTTTTTCACATGTATAGAAATTTGTAATAAGATGCATAATGTGGTTATAATAAAATATTAATTTTAATTAATTTAAAGTACGTTAAAATATGAAAATAATTGCACAATATGTATTTATAATTTAGAAAATACATGGGAAGCAGTGCTTCCACTGCTTCTAAGGATGTCACGCCACTGGTATTTTCAAAAATATACCTGTAAGCCTTACAGGTGCAGAAACTGCCATCAAGCATGATTAGATCAATCATTTTCAAATTATTATTGTTTTATTTTATACATGTACAAAACACATTTTAGTACAATAAAGTATGATACCTTCATTCAGTGACAACTGTTTTACATTCATAATTATTTTTCTATGGAAAGTCATGACATCAGGGATGTCTAGTAATTGTTCTGACGTCAAGAGCTGTAATAGTATCAAGAATTTTCATTACATATAAACTGTATGTTTTGATATCAGTGCCAATGTCATTTTTAAAAAAGCAATATTTTGGTATTTTGGTTTTTAAATGCACAATTGGTGGTGCAGATCACAATTCCTTTTACTGTTGCTTTAACATTTACATAATGTGATGATAATTTTTTCAAATTGTTTATAATGAAATTAACTTTAGAATAATTAGTAATAAAATAAATCTGTAATGCACTGCCAAGTGTGCATTTGAAAACCAAAATGTTGTTTTGGCAAGTGACTACTGTAGCATAGTTATAGTCACCTTATAATGCTACATCAATAATGATGTCTCAATTTATAAAACAATGTTATTTAAATATCTATGTAATAATTTTATATAAAGTAGTTGATGCTGTTCTATAAATTTTTATTGAACTTATGTTCTCAATCAATTACAAATAAGTGTTACCTAATTGCACTATTATAAAACTTCAACCAATGTTAAATAAAGAAGTGACCATGTTCTAATATAGCAATGTCAGTTTTATATTATATACAGTAAAATTATTTGTTTTATATAAATGATCAATACTAACTAAAATTAAAGAACTATAAACTATTTATTAATCTGAAACATTTTCAGAAATTATTTCTTCATTTTCATTAGATTATTATGTGTTTGTTAACTAAATTATAGAATATAAATGATTTGAGTGTTAAGATATTTAGATAGTACATAGTGTATAGATAAAACATAGTGTATTGTGGTGATGCAGATGAATGAAAACTGTGTGTTATAAACAATATACGTTAAACCACATTTCATTTAGGAATACAATGACAATATCAATTTATTTTCTTTTAACATTAACTTACAATATTCTCCTTTTCGTTTTCCCAACAATTGTGAAACCCAAAGCCAGTGCATGGAAAATCCATTTCCATTGTCTTATATTACTAATGAAAACTAAAATATTTTAGATTAATACTAATAGTAATAGAATTAGAGAAGGAAGGAAGGAAAATTAGGTTGTTACGGGATCCCTTTTCTTTTGTCCTGCGAGTTAAGCACTTAAGGTGTCAACCACAGTTAATAGAGAAATTCAACATCACCAAGTGGACCTCCTTTGTCGAGACAAAAAACTCCACTTATGACCTTCTCTCTACTTCTTAATATCACAAATTTCGAACACTATCTCCTTCATTCCACTGCATGAGTCTTCCTTCTTGGACTTCTTCTCCAGTGTTGCCATATGACTTCTTCCTATGCTCCCTTGGCCAAGAATGACAAAAATCGTTTTTTTTACTCTGCCGTTGGTTGATACTCCTTCTAGCCCAAAACTCGCCATAGGATAAATATTTTACGGTCGAAGGGGTTAGGAAATAGAAAATGATAGAGTTAGTTAGGTAGATTGGATGAAGACATAAAATTTATCAATTTACTAAATTAAATAAATAAAAATATATATATACATTGTGGAACCCACCACAGTATACAAATAGTGTATATATATAAATGTGTATAAGATAGTATATAGAGTATGTAGAAGTTTAAACAGTTAAATAAAGTTATCAGTACAAAGGAAATCAATTGTAGAAAACCAATAAATCTTTAGTATTGAATTATGAAATGCATTTCAATAAAAAAATTTCTCATAAAGTTAATATAATATTTATTAATTGTATTTATTAATTTTTATCATTAAACATTATTAAACTCACTTTATATATCATAAGAAAAAAATTTAAACAGTTCTCATTAATGATTTATTTATTTATTTGCTATTATTGATAATAGGTTTATTCAAATTTTTTAGAATGGCGGCATGGTAGAGGAGGACATCTCATTTTAGCAGATGAAGATTTAACATCAAAAACTTCTAGTGGATGGCAGAGAATAAATACGTTAAGCCATTATGGAATTAGAGAATCTGCTATAATGGGACTTGTTAACAATAAAAAATCATCCAAAAGTATGAACAACTAAATAACAAGCATAATATACTGTTTTGTTTTACTTATATTTAGTTTTTTGAATATATTTTATTATTAAATTCAATTTTAAATTAAATAACTTTAATTAAAATACATGTATTGAAAGATTTTTTTATACTAATATATGCTATCTCAGAATTTAATATATAATTATAATGGTATATTCTGATATCTAAGGAATGCTATTAAATTATTAAGAATTTATATTAAATGTTAAAATTTTAGTTTTCTAAACATTTGAATTTAAGATATTATGTTTGATATAATGAAACAATAGTAAAAATTAATAAATTACTTTTTAATTTTTAATATTACATTTTTTTGACTGAAGTTTGTTTTCATTTTGTTGTAAAAAAAAAAGAATAAAATAAACTATTCAATTTCAGAATATTGCAGAAATGCATAAAAAGTTTTAAAATATTTACATTATTTTTAATAAGATTATGCACATATTTTAAATCTTTAATATTTTGTATATTATTGAAAATGTTCCTAATTTTTAAAAAAACATTTTTTTATTTTGTTCAAAATAATTCTTTTTATTTTTCTTCGTGTTTTATCATTGTGATTCTTGTTACTAAATTTGTGAGGAACATAACTAGACTAAATTAATGTAGCTTAAATATTGACCGGCCTTTTATCATCATATTCTTTTAACATTCAGATCATTTTATATTTTACATGCAAACTTTGTTTAGCTTAAATAATTATTTTTAGTTTTATCAACCATATACTTTTTTAAATAAAATAATAGTTTTCAAATTATAAATACTATAAATATGAAAAAATACTTAATAGATTAACTCAAAAACAACAATTAAGTAATTGTTTCTTTGATAATTAAGTGGGTGAGTGGGAGATTGAATAAAACAAAATAAATACTGCACATTTAAAAATGCATAAGATAATGAATCTCAAGTGTCAGAATGGAATAAAATTATTTTTATTTAGCTTGCTCATTTAACATATAATAAAAAAAATTATAATTATTTTAAATCCTAATGTTGAATGTTTTATTTAAAGATTTTAATATTATGTCTGTCATAAATTTTAATAGTAATTCATTATCTGAATTATTTTAGAAATCTTACAAAGCTACATTTACATTTAAAAATAAAAATAGTGTGTCCTTGAAATGTAATTTATAAAATTTGAAAATTATAATAAGTAAATTGTTATGATTATTTAAAATTTTTATTCATAGTTGACTTTTATATAATTTTTTAAGTTTTATTAATCTAATTGGATCTTACTATTATTATCAGAGTATTATCATCAGAGTATTAGTTTAAATTAATTTTTCTAAAGTTCCAGCTTTCATTTTCATAAAAAAAAATTTTTTTAATCTTTTATATTTCATAAATTAATTTGAAAAATGTTCTAGATTTATTTTAAGCATTAATATTGGAATAAAATATGCTTATAATTATGTTTCATATAATAGAAGATGAAATATATTTCTAGCTTTATTAATTTCAAAGTGTTTTTGCCATAAATTTATTCAAATATTAATTAATATTAACATTATATATCTGGGATCATCAATAGATATGAGTGTTTTTGTAAGACATTTTCTGAGTGTTTAGGATTCTCAGAATAATCTTTTGATTATTGTGAGTTTTCTAAATGTTAGTAGCACCTTCTGAAACTACTAGCATCTATGCCTCTGGAAGTATGTTAGTATTGTTTACTGTTGTGGTTAGGGCTGTCAAGAGCTTTTAGGGCCTGCAAGTAGAGTGGGCCTTTTGTCTCTTAGCAAAACTTTCTAATCTTTTGTTTTTTGAACAAATGAAATACATGGAATGTTTCTTTATCAATAAAAAGCAATCTTAAAGATTTTTTGTTAACTTAAAACTTAAGGGAGCTTGTAGTGATTCTACCTTTAAATTAACATTAATTTTATAAAGGTAGAATCATTACAAGCTCCCTTAAGTTTTCTCTGGATCCAAGGAAAAATCCCCAGCTCTCCCTCTCAATCTCCTGACAGTTTTGGTTGTGACACAGCATGTAAGACAAGCCATATTGTAAGGGGCATAGTATCCCAGAGGGATTGTCAGATATATTAAGAAGTAAAATTAATGATGGCAAAAGCTCGGATAATTTGTTTTAACATTACAAATTATTTTAGTATAATAACCCCACTAACTTGATTATGTGGGATGAAGATTGTCTGAGTTAGTGGGGTGTTTTCTTCAATGGCATGGAAAACAAGTAGATTTAATACTGTTTAGTAAGTTTTACTGCTGAGTTTATTATTGCAAGAAATGAGCTCAAAAAATTTCATGACACAGTAAAGTATAGCAATGTACAGTTTGTATTAACTTACTGACTATAATAATATAATGCACAGTATCACAAAGACTTCCAGATATCAAAAACACTTGTTAATTATAATTTCATTATAATTATAATGACTCATTAATTATAATTTTTCTACTGTCAAAAATGTTTAAATTACTGTAAAGTTGTTCAAAAAAATTTTATCTGAGGTTAGCAAAGTCCAAGTTGGGGTTTTCAAGTTAGCAGGAATTTATTGTATTTGAGTACGTTACATAATATATGAATTCTATTTTAATATAATAAAAGAAACATTATAAAATAATTGTTATATAAAAAGAGATTTGATTCTTAGGAATTTGAGAACCACTAATTTAGATCAAAATNCAACGGGAGCTCTGTACTTCAGATATACTAATAATATATTCTAATAATACTAATATATTATAAAAATAGCAGATTGTCATTGGCAACGGCAAAAGAGTGGAAACATCATTCGCACTTGTTCACAGAAAGTCAGTTGTTTGCCTCACGTAACTGCTGAATGGAAAGTCCATTGTTCGCAGCCAGTCCGTTATTCGAGGCACCACTGTATTTGTTTACTTCATTAAAACTGTGATAATATTTACATAAATATAGATAATTTTAAAAATGATGATATCAATGAAAATCTGCATTCTTCCAAACTTCGAATTCACTATAGACATTCAGTTTTGTATAAGCTTAACCTAACACGAGCCTCTGAATGTGGCCAAAAATATTAGTTTATTATACAGTTAATGCTGGAAAGTGTGAGAGGTATGAATTTTCTGTTATACATTAATTACAGTTTAAACTTATTGAATTTGTAAGCTGGAACTATCGTGATGTATCAACATACAGGAGTCGGTAAATAATTCAAACATCTCCGTCTTACACAGTCAAATTAAACTGTTCTTGAAACACATGCCATCACATATACACTCATTTGCATAGTTTATATCACTGTCGATGAACTTTATTACTTTTGCTGTTGAAAAACTATTTTCCTATTTTTGTAGCATGATTATGTCAGACCTAACAGATTCCCAAATGGGAAGTGATGGAAAGAATGATACAAAACATGTACACTCAAGACATGGAAACATGAAATTTGGTCGAATGAGTCAACTTTCACTGTGTTTCCCACTTTTGGCCATGTTTATGTCTGGAGATTAGCGTGTAAAGTTTACAATGTTGACTGCCTTAAACTTACCATCAAGTTTGGCGGAGGTTCTGCATGATATGGGTGTGATATCATTAAACTCGAGTCCAACAGTTATCCTCCTCAAAAGTAAAGTCCGGAGGCGTCTGCTATTCTGAGTGACCAACTCCTCCTGTGATCCAGACTTTGTTTCTGGACGGCTATGCAATCTTTCAGAACAACAATACTGCTATCCACACTGCTGGTTCTGTTCGATCTTGGTTCGAGGAGCACGAAACTGAAGTTAAGCATTTGTCCCGGTCAACTCGATCACTCGACTAGAATAATTAGCCTGTCTGGGCATTCTTGAGAAAAAGGTTAGAAACAGATTTAGACTTCCTGTTTCTTTGAAGGAATTAGCATCACTATCAGTTGAAGAATGGTACAAAATTGACATTAATGTTGTTTGTGATTTATATTTGTCTGTTTCTTTACATATTTTGGCCGTATTATCCAAAAAAGAAGTCCTACCCGTTATTAGTAAACCAAAGCAATCCAATCCCAGTTTAATTCCAATGACATTTGATTTTAAAAATTCACATAGTAAAATGTCTTGAAAATAAAATAGTTCTGTGTACTTTTAGACATGTTTTAAGTAGTATATTTGATGAGGATTATAAGACAATAACAAAATTGTCTTATAATCCTCATCTAGTGGTATAAGAACATTAATATTAAATTAGAAAATCCTAATATTTTATATAACTCCAGCATAGAAGCATGCATTTACTGAAATTGTTATCAAACATATTTTTCTTGTAACATTTATTGGGTTGTCCAAAATGTTTTCTAGGTTTTTAAAAAATTTTGTAACTATTTTATTGCCCACCGGTGGCCAAGTGGATAAAAACCACTGAGCACAGATAGTCGGTTGTGGGTTCGCACCTCACTGAAAGGCAGGGGTGGGAACATTGCATGCTTCTATGGTAACTGTGAGAAGCACTTCCCAGATGAACACAAGCCTTCGATTGTTGCAGCATTTAATTATTGCCATTCAGGGCCATAGTAGGTGGTAGCCTTGCTCGAGAACTTTTTTAGCGAGCTCTGTAGAACATCTTCCTTTGGCTACATCGTCCTTATGCAAGGCGGGAGGTGAGCATTCTTGTTGTTGCAAACCTACGCAGATGTATCTGCAACGATTGGGACAGGCTAACCATTTTAGAAAAGTCAAGGGTTTATGCAATACACCTAGAAAATCCAGCAACAGGAGCTATTACAAGATACATAGGAGCAACAACAACAATGCTCGCCTCCCGCTTTGCAGAACATCAGGACGATGTAGCCAAAGGAAGATGTTCTACAGAGCTCGCTAAAAAAGTTCTTGAGCAAGGCTACAACCTACTATGGCCCTGAATGGCAATAATTAAATGCTGCAACAATCAAAGGCTTGTGTTCATCTGGGAAGCACTTCTCATGGCTACTACAGAAGCGTGCAATGTTCCCACCCTCGCTCTACCTGGGTGTGGATTGCCTTGTATCGGTGTCTAAAAAACAAAATGCGCCTAACATTGTATTGCCAACGCGGTTGCATTTTCATGCATGCGCTGCTAGCATCATAAAATTTAAAGATTCAAACATATCAAAAACTATTTGCACGTTCTTAATGGAATTTCTGGACACCTGGTTTGAATTTAAAATTCTGTTCCTTTGGAACATTCTGCACGTTTGTTTCGTTAAAATTTGTTCATTTCACCTGAAGACGACAGTTATACACTCGTCGAAAGTGCTTGTGTTAATACTAAAGGAACTTTATTAANCAATAAATAGTAAAGGTAGAAACCACAGTGATGAAAGCTCTTAAAGATATCACAAAAAATGACTTTGACAAATGTTTTGGATATTGACAGAAGTGTATAGCAGCAGAAGAAGCTTACTTTGAAGGTGATATAATCTAAGAGTTTCTCTGTATTGAGAAAAAAGTTGTGCCAAAGTTTGGTTCCTTTTGTTCTGTCTCATATTCCTTATTCAATAACCAGTATCAATAATAAAAAAATATTTTATCATCATAATTTATTTATTTTGAAATTTTTATAGTTTACCTTTGAGGTTTTGGGTAAATCTTGTAAAAAATCCTGACTTCATATTTGACATCGAAAAAACACCAACAGTTGATTCTTGTCTTTCGGTAATTGCTCAGACGTTTATGGACTCCTGTTCTACTAGTGAACATCGCCTGGGCAAGGTAAGATTATCAATTCAAATTTTAAATGTATATCTAATGTTAATAAGATATTAATTAATGAAATTTATACAAATATTGCAATTTATTAAGAAGATTGAAATGGAAGTATTTATAATCTATCAAGCCATCATAATCTTTTATTCTTTACAAAAACATTAGAATTATTTTAAAAAACATATTAAAGCTATTTCATTAATTTTGATAAACTAATTTAATCTTGAGAATGTAAAAAATTTAATAAATCTTTTATCACTTACAAAAATGAACCATATAGCATACATTTCTTAAGCAAAATCTAATATATATAGGAAAAAAAACAAAAAATTATTTACAGAAGTTTTTTATTAAATTTATGTATAAATAAAATCAGAAATCTTTAACAATAATAATAAATTTTCACAATAATCATCTGTAATGAAGTCACAGAGAAAAATATCTTATTTTAAAGAAAAATAAAAAATAGCATTAATAGAAAATCACATATATAATTGAAGACTATTCAAGTGATTCAAAAATCCAGATGTTTGAAGACAAAGTGTAAAATATTTGAATATATATGTTAATATTTTTCAGAATATATTTTATAAATTTTATAATGCAACCATTTATTTTGCCTTTTTTTTCAATATTTATGCTATTTCTTGCCTAAAAGCCTTTGCCTAAAGGGGTGGAATCTAAAAATTTTCATAATGGTAATCAGTTTTATGCTTGATACAACATGCAGAAGTTTCATTTAATGCAAAATCCATAACTTAGTAACAATATCCTAACCATTACAAAAAATACTAGAGCAACTCAAGAATGTAAATGATATCTTATTAATATTATTCTAAAAGAAAAATTTCAGTTGAATCCAAATATTATATTACAATACATTGATTTAAAAAAATTTGATATATCATATAGATCAATACAAAAAATCCAATTTTTAAAATGATATATAGTTTATTTACCATTAATAAATTTCTTGTATCATATTATGATATAGAAGTATTAAAATTATAATAAATTCTATATTTTAAAAAAATAAAAAATGAAGACTAACAAAAATATTTTGAAGTCTTTTCCATTAACAAATAAAAATCTCAATAATTTTAAGTTATTTTATAATATGAAATAAAGCATAATAAATTTTGTATATAATTCAGTTTGCTAAAATTTATGTTTTCCACAAAAACTAAAATTTTATAAAACAAATTTATAACTGGCTTAATGACATAAACATAGTGCTTACTAGAGCCAATAAAAGCAAGCATTTCATCCTGATGAAAAAAATTCACATATTGGAGATTACATTATATTCAATAAAATGAAGGTGAGGAAATAGATGACCACTACCTTACCGCCTCCATTATCAACCATTTTTTTAATATAATACTGAGGCATCAGCTTCAATCAGGAAAATAATGTATTAAGTAAAGTCAATATACTCTTATAAAAATACACACACAAAAATGTATATAAAGAAAAAGAATATGTACTTATAATAAACTTATAATAGATTGAACCCAAAAATAATTTTTACATTGAAAGAAATTCTAGAGACTTTCTGACAGCCTGACAGGCAAAAATGGTAATCATCATACATTCAGTACTGGATATATTTTGCTCAAATAACAGGCTAACCATCAAATTCCATTTGACTAGCTTTCACTGATCACTTTTTCCTGTAACATTAGCCTACTGTGTCCAAATTTTATGGTTTATTTTGTACCTGCTGGCCTCAAGGCAAAAACTTCTTATTCATGTAAAATACCTGGTGTGAACTATTTGCTGTTGCAAATGATTTTGGAAATAGAAAATAATCTCAGGACTATCCTGAATACATGCGCAAAGTTTTACAGAAATTAGTTTACTTATCTATTTTTCTAAAATTTTTGTACCATATGTTCTTTTCAATTACTAGTTTAAAGAACTATTATAATAAAATGTTTTTATCATTCAGAAACAAGCTTATAGTTTTCTACATGTTGGTTTATAAATCAAAGTTAGCTTTGTATAGTTTAAAACTTTAAAAGACTACTGAATACTGAAAATTAAGTGAAAGTGGACATGATGCATTTTGGAGTGACATGCTTTATGTCATTCCAAAATACATTTTATCTGATTATAAATAAGATATTGTAAATTTCAATATGGTAATGCAAGGTTTTATTAATTAAGTATTAGAAATTAGAATATCTTATAAAATTTAGAATACTTTATTGATATTTATTTAAAAAACATTAATAATTGATTTGAATGTATTACCATTATCATACTTTATATAATTTATTCATTACTAATATGAGGGAGAGTCAAAACTTAACCAAACTTTTGGATCTTTGTGTTACATATGATTGTGAGAGACAGGCAGCATCAGATTCTTAAGTTTCTTATATTTCCTTGTATCACTTGTATTCATGAACAGCATACTAGGACTGGATTTTTATAATAATATTTTAAAAAGTTGGCAATAGAAATTATACATCTTAAGCAGTGAGCAAATATCGAAGTTTGTATGAAATTTCTTAAAATTTCAGAAAGTTTGAATATACTTTATCTGTGTTAAGTCCAAACAAAAGAGGTCTAATAAAAGCTTTATGATAAAATAAGCCCAATTTATTGAAGAGACGGAACTGAATCTTTCTTCATGGCAATGCCCTGTGTGTTGGTAATTTTTGGTCAATGAATATCTGACTAAGAAGGGATACTTTCATGATCTTGGTCTCTCAGATTTTTATCTGTTTCAAGAAGTTAAAGGATTACAGATTCCAATAAATAGTAAAGGTAGAAACCACAGTGATGAAAGCTCTTAAAGATATCACAAAAAATGACTTTGACAAATGTTTTGGATATTGACAGAAGTGTATAGCAGCAGAAGAAGCTTACTTTGAAGGTGATATAATCTAAGAGTTTCTCTGTATTGAGAAAAAAGTTGTGCCAAAGTTTGGTTCCTTTTGTTCTGTCTCATATTCCTTATTCAATAACCAGTATCAATAATAAAAAAATATTTTATCATCATAATTTATTTATTTTGAAATTTTTATAGTTTACCTTTGAGGTTTTGGGTAAATCTTGTAAAAAATCCTGACTTCATATTTGACATCGAAAAAACACCAACAGTTGATTCTTGTCTTTCGGTAATTGCTCAGACGTTTATGGACTCCTGTTCTACTAGTGAACATCGCCTGGGCAAGGTAAGATTATCAATTCAAATTTTAAATGTATATCTAATGTTAATAAGATATTAATTAATGAAATTTATACAAATATTGCAATTTATTAAGAAGATTGAAATGGAAGTATTTATAATCTATCAAGCCATCATAATCTTTTATTCTTTACAAAAACATTAGAATTATTTTAAAAAACATATTAAAGCTATTTCATTAATTTTGATAAACTAATTTAATCTTGAGAATGTAAAAAATTTAATAAATCTTTTATCACTTACAAAAATGAACCATATAGCATACATTTCTTAAGCAAAATCTAATATATATAGGAAAAAAAACAAAAAATTATTTACAGAAGTTTTTTATTAAATTTATGTATAAATAAAATCAGAAATCTTTAACAATAATAATAAATTTTCACAATAATCATCTGTAATGAAGTCACAGAGAAAAATATCTTATTTTAAAGAAAAATAAAAAATAGCATTAATAGAAAATCACATATATAATTGAAGACTATTCAAGTGATTCAAAAATCCAGATGTTTGAAGACAAAGTGTAAAATATTTGAATATATATGTTAATATTTTTCAGAATATATTTTATAAATTTTATAATGCAACCATTTATTTTGCCTTTTTTTTCAATATTTATGCTATTTCTTGCCTAAAAGCCTTTGCCTAAAGGGGTGGAATCTAAAAATTTTCATAATGGTAATCAGTTTTATGCTTGATACAACATGCAGAAGTTTCATTTAATGCAAAATCCATAACTTAGTAACAATATCCTAACCATTACAAAAAATACTAGAGCAACTCAAGAATGTAAATGATATCTTATTAATATTATTCTAAAAGAAAAATTTCAGTTGAATCCAAATATTATATTACAATACATTGATTTAAAAAAATTTGATATATCATATAGATCAATACAAAAAATCCAATTTTTAAAATGATATATAGTTTATTTACCATTAATAAATTTCTTGTATCATATTATGATATAGAAGTATTAAAATTATAATAAATTCTATATTTTAAAAAAATAAAAAATGAAGACTAACAAAAATATTTTGAAGTCTTTTCCATTCCATTTTAACTGTCAGCTCAATCAACACTGGTAGAGTCAACCTTTTTTATATGCTTTTCTTTGTCCATATATATGAAAATTGTTTAAAAATTTCTCTTGCATTGGATATTTAATTGTAAAAATTTTCTAAAAACATGAAAATATAAGCATGATCACAACTAATAATATTACTATGTGCAGTAATTTGGTAATTTATTAGAATAGGTTAGGTTAGGTTAGAACGTGCGTCCTCATTGTTCCAGCCGCCACGACGGTGCACATAGGTAAAGATTAACCAATAAATCTAAAATTTCAAAAGAATATTACAAATTGACTTAGAATATTTAATGAACTAATAAATAATTTTATTATGTATATTACTAAGTTCAATTTCATACCTAAGAAATGCTCATTAAGTTTAATATTATATTTTTTTAAAATTTAAATCCAAACATCCTAATATATTTATCTTTATTTCAGGATTCACCATCAAATAAATTACTATTTGCAAGAGATATTCCTACTTATAGAAAAATGGTGTCAAGGTTTTATCAAGATATTGCTGCTATGCCAGCTGTAACAGATCAAGAAATGTCTGTTGCTTTACAACAATTGTCATTGGTAAGAATATTAAAATTACTGAATATTGTATATTATAATTTATTTCAATTTGTTTTTAAAGCAACTTGATTAGTAAATTTGCCAAATAAAGATGTTTATATAAAAGAAATTGTAAAGTATTATATATATAATTAAATTTGTAAAGAATAATATAAGCATTGTTAAATATAGAATAAGAATACAATTATTCATAAACTGGTTTACAAGATTTGTACAAAACATTCCAAATACACTTTTATCAGCAGTATTCTTTACTTTCAAATGTTTTTGCTGTTCATACAGTAATCATCAGACTACATCAAAGAGAATACAAAATAGAATTGTTTATTTGATTTTATAAATGTAAATATTAATTTAAAGTGATATATTCTGATAATTAATGCAGTATGCTCTAAATATTCATCATTACTGTTTTCTAACATTTTGTCTTGTGTTCAATAAAATTATTTGGTATTTTTTGAAAATTCAGCATTCCTCATTTATTTTTATTTAGTAAAAGAGTTGTCCTATGTCTTTTGTTTTCCTTTTTGAACTCTACCTCTTTTTTAATAATAATGTTCAAGAATGATTTTACTTTTCAATTCTGTTGTGATAGTTGATTTCATTGACTAATACTTATTTTCTTTCTTTTTATTCATTTATTTTTTTGTTCTGAAATTATCCAATAAGTTTCCTTGTATGTTTTCTAAAGGCTATGTTTCTAAGTTCTATATTATTTGAAATTTATTTTTTCATATTAATAAGTATATTATATAATCACTTTATATGTAAAATTATTTTATTTAGTAGAGCATTTAAAGATATAAAAAATGCTTTATAATCCTCTGACATTTTCTCAAAATATAGTTTTGAGATATTTAAAAAAGTTTTTTTCCAAATCTTTCCATGCAACGTTTTGTTAATTCTAATAAGCTTCAATACAGTTCAGTGTGTCTTAATTTAGCTCATGTAAAATTGAGTTTTTAAGAAAAACTATCATATATTAATTTATATAAAGTTACAACCACCAAATCCAAATTTACAAAGATTACTAAATATATAAAGTTGGATTTTATCACTTTATTTTTCATTTCTATTTTTTTAAATCAACTTTATTGATTTGAAAGAAAATGTCAGTCTGGAGTAGGGCTTAAATCCACACATTCTATATATTAATCATTTTTAATTAATGCAATTATTAATATTAGCAGAAGAAAACAGCTCAGTCATGAACATTTAGTCCAAATTAATTAGTTTTTATGTCAATGTCTAGGCAAAAGCTAGTCAAGCTAGCTTTTGCCTAGACATTGACATAAAAACTAATAAAAGCTAGCTTGATGATCCAGTTTTAAATATTTGGTAACTTTATTGTCCAACTTTGTTTCTTTGAATATCTCTGATTACATTTATTCTATTTGCTCCAAATGTTAAATTATTGATTTAATTTTTTTATTGTTCATAATTCAAGTCAGATATTATTGAATCTGACTGCATTCTGTTTGCTTTCTCTGTTAAGTAATAATAATTATTGTTACAAAAGTTGCTTCTAGCTCTTGGTATAATTAAATTATCAACAAACATAAAGCCGATAATAGTAAGGGCTTACTTATCACACCAATGATAATGGGCACAAATGCTCAGGAATCAAAGTAAAAACATTTAATAAAACTTAAAGGTAAAAGTAAACTTAAAAACTATGCCTAAAACTATACAATATAAAAATGAAAATGCCACTATAACTGTATGAGCAGTAAGCATTGTCAATGTAGACAGGTGTGATCTGTTTTTGTTATGTTGCTGGTTTGTGTGTTTTACATTGTTTTGTTGCTGTATAGTTTTAGATCTATATTTGGCTATTCTTTGTTTATAGGTTTTTTGTTTTGGCTTCCTGTTCATCAGGTCGCTTTTGTACATTCTGAAGATTTTTCACACCTGTCTACATTGACAATGCTTACTGCTCATACAGTTATAGTGGCATTTTCATTTTTATATTGTATAGTTTTAGGCATAGTTTTTAAGTTTACTTTTACCTTGTATAATTTTTAATATATTAAAACCTTTAGTTAATACCAACTGATGAAGGACTGTTTTTTGTCAGAAAATAGTCTGAAATGCATTTTGGGATTTTTCGTTTTCCATACTTATGTAGTCATTTTTATCGTACATCCCTTTTTTGCTTTTATTAAATGTTTTTACTTTGACTTTTGAGCATTTGTGGCCATTATAATTGGTGTAATAAGCCCTTACTATTATTGCTTTACATTTAATTAATTAAATAATTATTGTATTTTATCGCTATTAATTAATTAATTTTCTTATTTATTATTATAATTTTTTATTTTTTTTTTAATGATGATAGCAACATAGTCTATAACTTATTTGTTTTATAGAATATTTATAGAAAAAAATACATAAATAAACAAAATGTATGTTACAAATAATGTTAAATACAAACTGAAGACAATTTTGCATCACTACAAAAAGAGAAATAATAGAAATGAGCTTTATCATACAACACTTTTGCCAAGTAGGAAAAAAGACAATCAAAATTAATTTTCTTTATTTACTTGTCATATATGAATTATAACAGTTCAATGTCAATATATTGATAAACAGGATAATCGTAAAATAAGTTAACACAAAATTCTTAAAAGTTTTAAAATTATTTTTATTTAACTACTGGTTACAAATAAAATATGTAGCAAAAATGAATTTGGAACAATGCTTCTATTATCTACACTGAATCATAATATATGTTCAATGCAGTGGCATACCGTCATTAGAAGCAGTGGATGCACCGCTTCCCTTGTATTTTCTAAAAAATAAATACATATTAATTTTAATTATATGAGAATAATCGCACAATATTTTATTATAACTGCATCATGTATCTTATTACAAATTTCTATACTATATATGAAAAAAAAAGATAAGATTGCTATTGTATATTCAAATATTAGTGGCGGAGTGGAAGAGCTGTATCGTCAGTATCCAAAAAGCCAGATTCGCGCATGCGCTTTACAGAGCACCAACCTCACTCAGTTTAGCTGGTGGAAGCCTAGGACCTTGGGTGGATGCTACACATATACCAGATCCAATTCTATCCAGGACTGGTTCTGGGCTCTTACCTGCCCGCTAGATATTTGGCCACCCTTGCCCCATTACGTAAATCATGATTAGATTTATAACTTAACCCAACCAATAAGAATTTACTGGTATGTTTTATAATAGTTCTGTATAGTTGACAGAAGTTAAAAAAATCCATTAAAATATTTGATATATTTATTCTGCTTTTACTCTGCTCTCCCATCTTATATTACTTTCGGATTTCAATGTTAAACCAGTGATATTACAATTTTATATGTCTTATCTATAAAGGGATGTAGAAAAAAACGTGTACAATTCTTGTACAATGTTAAAAAATTAACTGTTACTTTGACAGCATCATTTACAACTAAATTTAATGAATGAGAGAGATGCACAAGGTGCAGAAAAAGCTCTAGAATTTAATTTCCTTAATTTTACGATTTACATATCAGTTGTCTTAAAAATTTGCCTTTCCAATTTTTTCCCAAGACTACAAATATTCGAGTACAAAGTAACCAGTTTGACTTATTTCTACTTAAGAAGTAGTTAAATAATTAAGAGATTAGGGAATTGGGAACATAAACAAAACCCTGATGAAAGAGCTGAAATTTTACTTAAGCGAAACAAAAGCTTAACCGAACCATCTCTAGCCGAGTACAGTGGAGACTGATTTCTTCGTATTATTAATGTAATAAAGACAGAAATTTTTCTAGTTCAACGAGAGTGACCGAAAAGTTGTAAATTTTGGAAATTTCTGAGGTCACTAAGTTCTAAAAAGAATTAGTTAGAAAACAAATGACTATTAAGTTTAACATGTTTAAATTTTTACAGCTATGGTGAGAAACGTTTAAAATCTACAACAGCCCTGTTGCGTCCTTTGAGATATACTAGTGATGCAACAAAAGAGGTATTTGACATTGACNTCCCGTACAAAATTAATAGTTCACCCAGACAGTGAGTCGATTCCCAGACTGTCCAGGTGAAAACCGAACAGGTGGTAACATTATTCCGTGCTCATTACAATCAGTCCGAATCGTAGGTGCCACGAAAATATGAAATAAAATGGTTCAAATTTTTACAAGATATTATTATTATTTATTGTGAAATTTTGCTGCCTCCTAAAAGTGCCATCCAGGGCGGGCCGCCCCCACTACGCTACACCACTGCTTTGAGATATACTAGTGATGTGACAAAAGAGGTATTTGACATTGACTGGTATCGGCACCCTGGGGATTTGGCAGTCCGCGTGTATGCACGCTCTGCAACCGTCTTCGATTCTGTCCATTAGCCACTTGTAGGGAGCTATTTGACTAAGTGCATTGTTTTAAGATTTAAAAAGTAAAGAATATTTTATATTTTTATGTACATTTCTTTACAAAGCTATATTTAATTAAAATTTTCTTTAAAAGTATATTCATACAATTGAAGAATATTTTGTACCAGGTATGTACTGGTACGTCCACCACACATTTTATTTCACCAAGTTTTTATAACTTTATTTTTAATTGTAGTCCTTATATCATGACTAGCGATTCGGAATGTAATTGTGATATTAAAATAGGCATTTAGAGAAGTCTACGGTTTTTACTGGTTTATCAAATAAACGATACAAATGGACCCTAGACCATCACTGATGCGCAATTGACTGATTGCCCCTGGATGTCGGCTTCTTACAGAAACACAGCTTCCCTCTCATCAAATGTCATGGCACGCCACCGGTTCAATGTATCCATCATTCTGAAGGATAGGTCTAATGCAGAACATAAAATTATAAACAACACATTTTGGTTGATCAGAACTGATGTTTAATAAGTTATCTTTTAATTTAATTCCTCAAACCAACTAATAACTTATGCTCCATACTTTATAAACTCATCCGTTGAGATAACTCCATAATCAGTATTTTCAAGAGTTTAAATACAGGCTACATGGATGCCTTTTTATTTTTCAGCTAATAGATATGAAAGTGATATGTTTAATCATTTTCCTTTCATTAAGTTCTGGTATCAAAAAATTTTTCAACTTTTCTGCATGTCTTTGTAATTGTTACAATTTTAAGCAATCCATTATTATTATTATTTTTTTTTTCTTGAAGAAATAAGGACCAAGAGAAATTGGGATTCACACTATAAAGTCAGCTTTTCATCCTGAAAAGGTTGCACATCAATAGCATGCAGATTTTCAGATGCCCAAATAACACTATTATGGATATTAACCATGGAGTTAAAAATATGCTTTGCAGATCAAAGAATAGTGCTAAGCCATCCATAAAGATCATTCAATTTTGAAAAGCAAATAGTTAGCATAATCATCTCTGTTTCTGTAATCACATGGTATCAATTGTTAAAGGCATTTACTTTTGTAAGAATGAAGGTACAATGCATACTTCATAATTTTTAAAATACTTGATTTAGGTAGTTGATATACTTAGCAGTTTCTAGTACAATTTTTTTGATTTTAGGTCTTCCAGAGTATTTAGCATTTTTAACACTGCCTGTTTTCTCAAACTTTTTAATAAGAGAAGACAAAGTGGCTGGAGAACAAGGCTCAAACATTTTTTATATGATTTTCTTTTTGAAAGCTATGTGCATTAAATCCATTTTGATAGTAATAAATAGTAAATTTGAACTCTTCCTGAAGAGAGTCGTTTTTTAGCTAAAATATACAAACGCTTTAATGTTTTTAATACAAAGTTTAACTTGCAGAAAGTGTCTCCCCAAAAACTTTGCTAAATTTATATTTCTCTAGTATTAGGTAGATATTTATAATTTTTAAAATTTAAACATTTTGTGTTATTTTATGACAACCCTGTATATAAAAATCAGAGCAAATATATTTGTTTTTAGATCTAAAATTAATAAACTAATTAAATAATTTTAATGCTATTATAATCTTAACATACATAATGAATATACATAAACGATACAGTGAATAAAATAAAGATACAAATTTACTATTTTCTTTTTTATTGATAAGTCACACCTTTTTAATTGTATAATGATCATACAATGGTACTAAACATACAATATTTGATACATTTTTTAACATTAATGTTATGTTATGAAAATAATAAGATTTTTGTTATCTTTATCATTTATTTAGAATCTAAGTAAATTTCATTGTAGAAGAAAAGTATTATATGTATGACTATTGCATATCTGATTAATCATATTTTCTATTCAAAATCAAAAGTTAAAAATTGCTTGAATTATTACTAGACTTCCTAAAATGTTATTATATGATTAGAATGCTACAGTACTATAAATAGACTATGTTTCAGTGATAATACAGTATATTGAGAATAATTAGTATAATATAATTATTCTAATCACTTAACTATCTGATAAGCAATTAATAGCAATCTAGTATAATTTAGCAAATTGTTAATTATTCATTTATATTAAAATCAGAATATTTATTAATTATATATCTCACAATCATTTAATTTTTTTAGTAAATTCAATATTTTTTCTAAGTAAAGGATTTGATCTGATTAAAATAAAAGATCAATGCTTTTATACATTACTAATGTAACTTACACTTTAAGTCTTAGAGCTGTTCTGCTGCAGTTCAAGATGTTTTTGAGTTTTATATTTCTTCTTTGGCCTCTTTTCATCTTTTCATTTGATTGGTATTCTAATATTAATTGGGAAGCCAATACTCATCCTTTTTCAAAATATGGTCCATCTATTTTTTCTGACAGGTTTTAATATTGTCTACTATATTATTAACCCCTAATTTAGCCGATATCTATTTTTCATTTGCGAGAGTAATTTGGACAGGTCTAATAGATATCTCAGAAAGCTTATGTGAGTGGTTACTACTTTTGGGAATTTCTGTTGTTTAGGACTCAAGTCTTGCTACTATATGAGAGAACAGCTTGAGACTAATATTATGTAAATTTAATTTAGTTTGAAACAGACATTTATTTCCTAAATTGATATTTTATTGTTCCATTTTATTTGACTCTACTATATTTCTGTATTTTATCTGTCATATTTTTTTTTTATTTGATATGAAAGTCACCAAGTAATTGAATCTATATCTGTTTTTATTATTTTTCCTTCAACTTCAAGATTTGTGCTGTATTTTTGCAATGTATTTCTGTTCAGTTATTGATGTGGAAATTGTCATATCGTTAGCAATTTTAATTAATGTATTATACTGGCTGTCTGTGAGTCATTCTATGATTAGGCTTCAACTGATCATCAGTATATAGAATGATTTATATTTTATCTCTAGGTATACACCAATTATTTTTAGAAATAATTAGTACATGTCTGTAATATGAAATGTAATATAAATGTTCAAATCTTTGGAGAATAAAAATTTGATTAGTTAAATCAAACAGAATACATGACATGCAAATAAATAAAATTTGTCTGACATATACATAGCCACTTCATTTAGCATAACCATATCTTTTCAGAATATATATTAAGATTAAAATAACATTCAAAGCAATTAAAATAATTAATCAAACAGATTAATTAATACATTTAATTATTGTTTGATTAATAAACACTGGTGTAGAAAGTATTTAATGGCACTTATATAACTTAAACTTTGTTCTATAATTATGTTAAAATAACCAGAAATAAAATCTGACAATAAAGATGACAGATAAATAAGTCTATGATCTTTAGAGAATTTACTATAAAGATTATTATATTCTTTAAATTCTCTTGATATATTCAGAATTTTATTATAATGTAAAATTACTTTTTCAAAAAAATTAAAGTGAATTTTTTAAAATTATTATTATTATTGATACAAAATGATTTATAGTATAAATTATTTCCTACTTTAAATTGTTTTGTATTTTATTTAAAATAAGTTTTTTTATGATATTAATTAATTTATTGATGATAAAAATTAAATATTAATTTATGAAGCACTAAAAAGTGATTCATTTCATAATTTTCAAAATTGTTCAAAATTTTCAGAGGAAAAATTTTAAAATTATAATTAGAAAAGAATATATTTAATAATAACAACATTTAAAAGTTTTTATTTCTCTGAAAATTCCTGATATTGAATATATAATAATATTATAAAATTAAGTTATTCTACGGATAAAATTATTTAGACTTATTTATATTAAGTATCATATTAATAAGTATCATTAAGTAATAATTTTTAAAATGTTAGAAAATAAAATTAATTTGGATTAAAGAAAAATTACAAACTATTAAATATTTATTACAAAAAATTTTTTAATCAGTAAATATATTATATTTGGTCAATATTAAAATAAATTATAAATAAGTGAATAACTTAAAATAAATTGGAAAATACAATAAAAAAAAAGGGAGAATTTTTTCTAATACATGTCATGTTATATCAATAGGCTCATACAGGAGAAGTGGATACATTAAATGCATTAAAAGAACTGTACATATATATAACTAGGTATAGTGAACAGGTATGTTTTTCATTTCAGTTTACTGTTGTTTTTTAATGATTTTATAGATATAATTATTATAATTAAAAAATATAGACTTGCATATATACAGTGAAACCTGTCTATAATAGAACCTGTATATAGCAAAAACCTGTCATTAGCAGAAAATTTCTTCAGTTCCTTGAATTTTGGAATTTTGTGCAAAAATTAATGTAAATTAAACTCTGTATAGTGAAACTTGTCTAATGCAGAAACAGAAAGGAAAATCAGGTCATACAATTGAAAAATAGTAACCTTTATCCAATTTAACACAAATTTAACAAGAGGTTTACAAAGCCTAGCATTTATAAATCATAAAAAAGTCAAAAATTACACATACCCAATACAGAACAGCAAAATATGACTACTGTATATACAGTAATTTTATTGGGATTTGAACAGAAAGATTTTGCATATTTTAATTAACAGCTGTTTTTACTTAACATAAATATATGATGTAATTATAAGTTGTGAATAAATTTCACAACTTTATTATTATATACTGTATATATTTAAGTTTTGTAAAGGATATCACACTATACAAACAGTAATAAATACTCATACTGTGTATGGAGAAGATGCTTCTAAACTCTGACTGTGTCAAATGTGGTTTTGAAAGTATTGTTTGGGAAATTTTGAACTAAAGGATACAAAACATACAGGTCCCACAAAAGTTGCTGAAGAGAAATTGTGGGAAGAAATTGTTAAAGATTGACGAATAACAACTCATGAATTTGCACAGACAAGTATTGTTGAAACACTTCATCCACTTGAAATGGTTGTAAAACATGGTGATGATTGTGTTCCACATGCAGTTTGTTTTTTTTTTTCCACTTATGAATAAAACAAACTGAATTGAGTATAATTTTGTCTGATGAAGGTAGGCAGCTAAAAGGTTTTATTTTATTTTTAAATTGGTTACTCATTTTTATCCTAAAGAACTTTTTTATGGGTAAATAAAAAAAAATTCAAGTTAAAATCAAAATGTTTGTTATTAACCAAAAATTTGTTCTAGCAGGTGGTGATTGTTCGGTCGAGTACCGAGGTACCACTGTATTTGATTAATGCAATTTTGATATACAAGGTAACATTGAGAAATTTATTAATTGCATTAACAAAGGGATACTTATAATAGGTAACCTGTATATTAGAGTACCTAGATTATCAGAGTAGCGACACACAAGTCATCACCACCATGTTCTGGCAACTGTCATCACGTGGCCTATGGGTTTACATTAAGAAATGACAATTATTACAATTTAATAAAGCATTTTATTTTTTTTTTATTCAAGAATATGATGAATGTATGAATCTTACAGGCTCAATAAGTTTTAACTCTTTAGCATTAGTATTTTTAAATAAAACTTTTGTTTACTTATTCAAAAAACTTCTAAATCAAAATTTCAAACGTTATTTTAAAGCAAACATAAGAAATCATCAGTAGTTAATGAAATTGATATTCGGCTTGTCAAAACTACTACTGTATTTTCTAATTTGACAGGATTTAATGTTTGAATATACAACGTACTGTACATGTGCTTATGCAATATGCAAAGGTAAAGCTGGGCATTGGCCTGACATAACTCCTCTCTGTAATAGCTAAAAAGATTCAAATAAAATCAAATACTGGCCAAATCTTTTATGTCTGTATAGACTGTAAGTATGGCCATAGCAAAAGAAGTAGCAGTGGCATACTAAAAGACAATAGTTTAAAATCAGTATTAATTATTTTAATTTGGGTTTCTAGTTACAATACAAACATAAGTTACTTACAAAACAAGATGAAATTGCTTGAGAGTAACTTTTTCTTGAGAAGACAGTCTAAGACTACTTTTGAAGCATCTTATAAGATTTTAAGTTCTAACATAAGGTTTGAAGTTCTAACAAAAAGTAATTAAACCATGTCTTCTAACATGTTATGTTTTGCCAAGAGATGTGGCAATATCTTGGAGAGGAATACCTGTATAATTTTCTAAATATGAACACCAGAAAAATAAGTCTTTCCTCTAGTTCAGTGTTTTTCAACCTTCTTGAATACGCTTCTTGTTTTGCAACCTTCTTGAATATTTTTTTTTTTACAAGTTAAAAAAATTCTGGCGACCCCCAGGCCATATTAAAACTATGTCAGTGATTGTAAAAACTACGTATTTAATTTTCTTTCTGTTGAGACCTAAATATCGATCGAAAAACCAATTGTACTTTAAAATAAACAGGCATAGCCTTCTCAATGAAATTATAGTTTTTTTTATTGTAGTGTAGAACCTACAAACACTTGTCTTTTTTTTACCTGCGACCCCCTGTGTAAGGCTTTGCGACCCCTTTGGGGGTCGCGACCCACAGGTTGAAAAACACTGCTCTAGTTTTCTTCTTGACAAGGTACATAAACTTTACTTTGTATTCATCAAAGTCAATACTAATAATTTGTCCAACATCATGTCAGACACTTGACTTTATAATGTTACAATATTGTTGGAACTTTACAATGACAAAATCTTCAACTGCTGTTGTGGCACTTTCTTCTGTTGCATATTCATTAAGAGATAACTGTCCTTTGGAATCTAAACTTCGGTCAGAAGTTACAATATATTTTTTTTAGACTAGTCTTTGAGCAAGTTTGGCTTTTCTTTCTTTTTGTGTTATCATGGAATTTTATGTTTAGAACACAAAGGGATGCATTTACTCCACTGACATGATCAAACTTTCATCAGGTAAATGTATTCTAGCTTGTCATGACAAAGCACATGGACAAAATATTTCACAAATACTTCATTTTAAATGCAAAAATTACTGTATTTGCACCCTATCAAATGAAAAGAGCTAATTTATCCAGACTTTTTAAACCATGTTGCAACCATGGAAGCAGCCATTGTGAAACCAGCTCAAATACTATCAATACCTGTACCTATGAGTTACACATCACTGTATCGTACATAGGGTATCAGCTTAATTTTGATTGGTTGATGAGATATTGTGGAAAAATGCAGTTACCCCATAGATGCACTTACTCCATCTGAACTTAATTGTATTGGTTTATATATATATATATTAATTAATTTGTAATGATATATTTTAATAATACTTTATTTGAATTTTCAATTTTGTATTTGATTAATTTTGGTTTCAATTAATATATTTTTATATAATTTTAGATTTTAGAAGCCTTAGATGATGATCCAAGCTGTCAAAGAATACATCTTGCTCAAAAATTGGATAATGTTGCCTGTATATTAAATGGTGAAGACACAGCAATATGCTGATTTTTACTGTCTGCATCAGACTCTATCATGCAAGTGCTCCAAATCTAATCATGTCTGGAACAGCATACTTAAGGATCCAGCATCACCGTGTCTGGCCGGTCGGGTTTCGGCGAGCTGTGCGTGTTATTTTAAGTGCCCAAAAATCTCATTAAAATACCACATCCTGTGGTAGAGTGCCAAGAAGAGAATACTCTACAATTCCATATACGAACAGGCCATGCAAATCCTGCCACTATCAATACAGGAGCATAGTTTCTTTCCTTGCCTGCTTGCTGATCCTTTGTATTTAACAGGAAGAGAAACAATAACAATCCACATCTTGAGGTTTCTTACTACAGAAACCATGTAATATATGTGCAATGGATCAATCATACATTCTCTCTTGTGAACGTTTATTTTCAATCATTTTCACAAAAACTGAATTGTATAGCAAAGGGTGACTTTAAAAGTAGCACCCTTACATCTTCAGACTTAATCAACATAATGGCATTACTTGATGTGATGATGCTGCAACACTATGCACTGAAACTTTTTCCAATTGCTTGTGAATATCTTTCATTTTATCACAAACTAGATCATATTGTCATACTTCTTGTATTTAATGTACTTACATAAGCAGAAAATCTTCCTGCTATAAGCTTCTAAATAGCCTTGGCTTCTGTGCAAAGGAATCATTATATATATTAAGATCGTAATGGTATTTATAGACAGTAATCTTAAAAAAATTGATTTGTTTGAAAATTTAATATTTAAGGCAGTTTTTTAATAGCCTTAAAGAGTTTTTATACTCATCACATTAAGTTCCAGTCATACGTAATATTTCATGTTATGTCATATTGTTACTTTTATAAATTTTCAAAAGTCTTTATAACTAAAACAAACTTCCATTTCTATAATTCCAGAATTTTTAAAGTAATATTTGGACAATTAAACAATTAAATAAAAAGAAAATACGTTGGAATATCACGGCAAATCAAATTTCGGAATTAACAGTGTTAGTAAATAGACAGAAATGTACATTGTTGTGACATTAGCAGGAAATTGTACAGCAAGAGATCATTGTTTGCAAGTGTTGGTATGATGTGTACAAAAATTAAAATTAGGCACTTTTAGGTATTATGCATCAAAATTGAATAGCAAATTTAAAAATAAGGAACATTCTTTCCTTTCTTGTATAATAAGTATGAATTTTTCTAAATTATTTAAGTGATGAATGAAAAATATCACTTAGGATGATAATATCCAGCCATATAGAACCTCAACTGTTTGCACAAAAAACAAATAAAATTGGGAGGCCAAAATTTAAGTTCTATCTATGCAGTATAGCTTGCTGCACTAGCCTCAATTTTGGCTCTTTACATACAGGGTGATCTTATCTTATTGAGCCAATACAAAATGCTAAAATAAAAGAAAATTAAAAAAAAAGAGAGGCAGCACTTCCACTGTCCATCAATCACTTAATTAGTAGATAGTTGACAATTGTTGGTATCCATAATTTTTCAGGTGGAAGATATGTTGGTTACTGTGCAAAACATGTCAATACTGACAATGTTTGCTGGTATATAAAGGTGTGCTTCATTTCTGGAAGGTCTTGGCAGTAGAGCTGCCAAGGTTGAAGAGTATTTTTTATATGCCGAATGTTTCTACGTCCTCCATAACATGAAATGATGCCAATAAATTTTATTGAAGAAACATTTTATGACTCTGTCTAGTACTTTTTAAAATGTGATTTTTCTTTAATCAGAAAAAAATGAAAATTTATTGTGACATACATCTACATCAATATAACCTTATTTATTTATAATAAAGATCATAATTTATTCATTAATAATTATTTTTTATTATTTTAATATGATTACTGGTGATATCTCCATGTATTTACTACTGACTGATATACAAAACAGTAAAGGACTACATTTGGTTTTTTTTTCTATTTTTTTAAAATATTGGTATCTTTTACACTATTATTCTACATAATATTTTAAATTATTTTATAAAAATATCTGCAAATGTCCATTTTGCACAACCTATTGACTAATATTTGGGTGGACATTAATGATGATTAAATAACTTAATTTTAGTTTTTATGAAAGTAAAGTATTGATTAAAATAATATATTTAATTCTGAAATTATTTTTTAGGTAGACTTTAGATATTTCAAAATATTTAAAGTCTACCTAGATATTTATTTGCAAACTTACTCACAAAATTATGATACTTTTACAGTTTAAATTTATTCACCTTATTTATTAATATTAATAAAGTAAAAAGATATTTGCTTTGAAAAATAGTCAAATACTTTTATTAAAAAATAGTTATATTTTTACATAATGACTTTTATAAATCTTTAATCATTCTATTTTCATATATACAATAGAGTTTATTGATACAAGGGCCAATTCCCTCAAGTTGCATCATATTCATACCTACTTCTACATAATTTAAATAATAGTAAAACTCATGAAAGAAGATTAAATATTTAAACATTGTGCATATTCAAAACTTAAATAAAGATTATTTCATTCTATATTTGAATAAAATATGTTCTTTTATATTAATTTATATTTACCAATTAATAAACTAAACTGCAAATATAAATTAAAGAAAGTTGTTTAAAATGCTATATTTCTTCATTTTTTAAAAATTGTTTAAGGATTGAATTAATTATAAATAAATTACTAAAAACTATAAATTTATAAAGGCGTAAATGCTAGAAATTACAATTATTTGATTTTAATTTCTGGTAGAAATGTTAGCGAGAGAGATTCCGAATATTTAAAGAGCCGTAAATGTCGACCCTAAAGTTGAATTTTTGGGGAATTTCAAAAGCTATTTGAAGCATTATTCGTGTCTACAGACAGTCAAATATTTGTAATGCTAAGCACTCCAATTGATTTTTCAAAGTTTCCGTTAAACCTTTGTTAGCGATATCATCTACAATACGAAACAAATATTCGTCTTTCTAACATTAAATTATATCCTTGCGTATATTTGTAACGTTTCGTTAGTTTTATTAATCAAATAACTTAGATTCATAAATCTCATCAATGGCAAGAAGACTAAAGTTTAGTTTGTCCATCCAAACTTCCAGCAAATATTAGAAGATGCATACAATCCTCTAGTCTAGTGTTTACTACAGTATAAAGATCCTTTAAAAATATGAATATATTTATTTATAAAATAGAAACTTATTTAAAGTTGTCATTTTTAACATAAAAAAAAGCAAAGATGTTAAGATATTTTACAAAATCTGTACATTTTATAGAAAAATTTATATTTCTATAGAAATAACAAGTGCAAGTTCATAAACAGAGATTGGAGTTAGAAGTAGGCTATACAAAAATATTTTATGTACCCAGTTGGAATAACATATAATAGGAGGGTAGTTTACGATTTCCTTCCTAATATATATTCTTGGAAGTAATCTTCAAGACAAGGAAGACTGAGAAGGAACAGTTGTGAATAATAAATATGCAAATCTTTATGTTAATCAATTCTTTCCACCCTATGCCCAGTCGCTTAGTCAGAGTTCGTCCCAATCGAAGTTAACGACTAATTTGATTGAACGCCCTTCATTTTCTTAACAAAATTATTGATTTTCTACAAAACAACTCTCCTTTAACATCACTCGATAATGTACTCGACGATTTCGATGTTAAAAATAACCAGAAATTATTATTACTTTAATCGTCAACCGATCATTATCGAACACGATTATCCTTCTACGATACATTAAAAATAATAATCCGAATATCTTATTAAAATTATCTCAATTACGATATCTTATTTATGCATTTCGAAACAAATTTGTATCTTATTTAACTAGTCGGTGGCGTAATTATTTAGCAAAACTAACAGCAGTAATTATAAAATCTATTAAAACCTCGCATGGCAGATGCTATATGAATATGTTGTTTAATTTAATCTGCCAGTAATACAGTTATAGCCCCTCATTTTCGAATATAGTACAGTGTAACGTTTATTCATTGCGTACAGTGTCGAAGGCATTCCAATTTTCGACACGTTACTATAGTAATAAATGGATTTAGCCTATTGACATTTAACATTCGAGTAGCGAATTAGCCTGTAGACCTACCAAGATATGATTTTATGTATAATTATTTGTTTTACCCGTGGATATTAAGCGAACAATTCTGTTACAGGCTATGTAAAGGCTCGATAAACAGAGTACAATTTAACTTTCAATTAAATTAAGTGCCTTTTTTTTTTGTTGACAAGTCAATACTCGAAAGGTTAAAAAAAATTAGAACTTAAACGTTAAAAAAAATCAAATTTCGCGAACAAATGGGTAACTAAACAATTAAAAGTACACATTTAACACAATTTACCATTTCTATAATTCCAGAATTTTTAAAGTAATATTTGGACAATTAAACAATTAAATAAAAAGAAAATACGTTGGAATATCACGGCAAATCAAATTTCGGAATTAACAGTGTTAGTAAATAGACAGAAATGTACATTGTTGTGACATTAGCAGGAAATTGTACAGCAAGAGATCATTGTTTGCAAGTGTTGGTATGATGTGTACAAAAATTAAAATTAGGCACTTTTAGGTATTATGCATCAAAATTGAATAGCAAATTTAAAAATAAGGAACATTCTTTCCTTTCTTGTATAATAAGTATGAATTTTTCTAAATTATTTAAGTGATGAATGAAAAATATCACTTAGGATGATAATATCCAGCCATATAGAACCTCAACTGTTTGCACAAAAAACAAATAAAATTGGGAGGCCAAAATTTAAGTTCTATCTATGCAGTATAGCTTGCTGCACTAGCCTCAATTTTGGCTCTTTACATACAGGGTGATCTTATCTTATTGAGCCAATACAAAATGCTAAAATAAAAGAAAATTAAAAAAAAAGAGAGGCAGCACTTCCACTGTCCATCAATCACTTAATTAGTAGATAGTTGACAATTGTTGGTATCCATAATTTTTCAGGTGGAAGATATGTTGGTTACTGTGCAAAACATGTCAATACTGACAATGTTTGCTGGTATATAAAGGTGTGCTTCATTTCTGGAAGGTCTTGGCAGTAGAGCTGCCAAGGTTGAAGAGTATTTTTTATATGCCGAATGTTTCTACGTCCTCCATAACATGAAATGATGCCAATAAATTTTATTGAAGAAACATTTTATGACTCTGTCTAGTACTTTTTAAAATGTGATTTTTCTTTAATCAGAAAAAAATGAAAATTTATTGTGACATACATCTACATCAATATAACCTTATTTATTTATAATAAAGATCATAATTTATTCATTAATAATTATTTTTTATTATTTTAATATGATTACTGGTGATATCTCCATGTATTTACTACTGACTGATATACAAAACAGTAAAGGACTACATTTGGTTTTTTTTTCTATTTTTTTAAAATATTGGTATCTTTTACACTATTATTCTACATAATATTTTAAATTATTTTATCAACTGCTGTTGTGGCACTTTCTTCTGTTGCATATTCATTAAGAGATAACTGTCCTTTGGAATCTAAACTTCGGTCAGAAGTTACAATATATTTTTTTTAGACTAGTCTTTGAGCAAGTTTGGCTTTTCTTTCTTTTTGTGTTATCATGGAATTTTATGTTTAGAACACAAAGGGATGCATTTACTCCACTGACATGATCAAACTTTCATCAGGTAAATGTATTCTAGCTTGTCATGACAAAGCACATGGACAAAATATTTCACAAATACTTCATTTTAAATGCAAAAATTACTGTATTTGCACCCTATCAAATGAAAAGAGCTAATTTATCCAGACTTTTTAAACCATGTTGCAACCATGGAAGCAGCCATTGTGAAACCAGCTCAAATACTATCAATACCTGTACCTATGAGTTACACATCACTGTATCGTACATAGGGTATCAGCTTAATTTTGATTGGTTGATGAGATATTGTGGAAAAATGCAGTTACCCCATAGATGCACTTACTCCATCTGAACTTAATTGTATTGGTTTATATATATATATATTAATAAATAAATATGAATAGTGAGGAACCAGTAAAAAATAAGTTTTCCAAGTTGTCATCAGATCCTTCATGGACTATGTAAATAAATTGACGGATCCTATTAAACTAGCGCTCGAAAGTTATACAGCTCTCGGGCTATCATCTGGATAAAGTGGATAGCCGGATTGCTGGAGGTTGCGCCAAAGGTACCGAAATATAACTCTCCTGTAATATAAACTAAATCTATTTCTAGTAAATATCGGGGATTTATATTTCTTTGATAACATATAGATCGTTGATGAAGTGTTTAAATCGATTTCGTCGTCGTCTAACAGCATAATAAGCTTATAACACGATAGTAATAGATTAGAAGTAATATTTTAAATTGTAAGATATCTGGCACCATTACTCGAAGTTGGCTCTTGTAACGATCAAAAAAAAATATTTGGTACAGATGGCTCATTTCCGATTTTAACTCGGTTGACAAGAGTTAAAGTGGTCGAGTTGAGTCGAGATTGAAGAAATTGAGTTCTAGCTCATAATGGAGCTCTATAGGATTTAACGGTAATCGATAAATGGATGACCAAACTTTCGTGTTTCTTCGATGTGTTGTCTGATTTCTTCTATATTTTAACTATTTTAAATGTATTTTGTTAAAAGTGGAAGGAAAAATATATAAATTTAATCATTCATTTATTCCAATGGAATATTTCTTTTTTAACAAAAGTTATAAATTGTAGATCGATCTCGACGACGATCGCCATGTTTATTAGTTAAAAAGGGAAGTTAAAGCATCGTTTCTTAAATTAAAACTTTTCTGTTAAAGGATTCGTGTGATTTCAATAAAAACGTGAAACAACATTATCTGTGAAAGTCAATTTAATTTTCACCGAATTCATTTTTACTTCATAATGGTCACCAAGAGAAAGAACGGGGGGAGAAACAATTTGGAAAAAAAATATTCACGAAAGATACGCATCAAAGAACTCAAGGCTAATGTCTGCACTTTCGATAATTTCCCGTACATCATTCATCTTGTATTTGAGTTTCATAATAAACAAAAAAGTTTCTTTAGATAGTTTCTCCCTGTTATCTTTTTTTTATCTAATGTTTGACTTTTCTCCTTAAAATATCGAGTGGAAAAAAGTCATTTACTTTTGAGAAGAAAGTCAGCAAACTGAGACGATATTGTCATTTGATCTGGCAGCCATCATTAAGTCATTTTCTTTGGTGCTTTCCTTTAAGCCTCCTTCAAAAACGATCACGGCTTCCTACGACTTCTTAACAATTTTCTCTTTCGATACCGAACTACAAACAACTGCTCGGTTCACACTTCGTTTCATCTTCTTTTCGCTTTGTTTAATGACTGTTTTATTATACAGATATGAATATTCAACCGAAAATAAAACTCCATAAATAATTTAGATTTAATGAAAAAGTTCTCTTTCGGAATTACTTTTCTACTTTTCGCAAACTATCTTCATAATAAACTGAATCTACATTGACTCTTTTGATGAAGTCTTTATTTTAGATCGCCATTTTTTTTTCGTTCTTCCTTTTTTTTAATAGATAACTAATAATTTTCCGCTGGCAAAACGGCACTTAAAAATATTTTAGAAAAAATTAAATTTGATTTAAGAGTTTTAATAAATAAATAAGCTGTATACAAATTTTATTACTTATTTTTTATAGTGAAGAGAGCTTATCAACCGGTGATTTGCTCTTTTGTATAGGCTATTTAGTGAGTCTCTGGTATTCACATTTGACATTTAAGAGCTATAACGTATTTTGATATATAAGCAGCAAAAAATATATTAAAAATTTCATATTATTTACGTCGGAGACTCCGTTATTTTCGTGTAAAGTAAAACTAAGGAATGTATTCTATAAGTTTATAAATTTTCTACGAAACTTATCATTTACAAATTTGATATTCATTGGTAGCGCCTATATTTGTTCGTATGTATTAGCTTAAAACCAGGGACAGATTTCGGAGCGTGGGCAGGATGCAGTTTTAGCCCAAGTAAAGTAGACCACAGGAAATAAATTTTGCAAAGCATATCGTTTCCTTTCTGTACTCCTTGTAAAGATTTCAGGATCCGCTTGTTTAATAGGAATGTCTTGTTCCATAAAAATGAGTAAATAAAGGTCTTAAATTATTCACAAGTACAGTATTGATATTGGTTGTATTATCGTTTTTCTTAATTATTTATCGGCCTAATTTTCATTCTTACGTTTAACACAGTATATCAGTAACATTGTGCACTATATTTCACATTCGCGTATATATCTTTAAGCTTATACAGAAAAAAATCAAAATTGTTTTTACAGAGGAATTTAGTCTGTATATAACTATATTATGTCCCTATTTAGAAGTAAATTTACTTTTTGACTCTTCATAAATCTGCATATTTCGTATGTTATTGTAATGTACAGTACAGGAATACAGTGCACTTATGCATTTAACCATACATTTTTATAAATGTAAGTTGGCCTATATATATTCTTTACATATAATTCTGTAGTGTTTTGTATAAAGTGTATAAATAAATATATAAATGTGTGGGCAGTACAAGACTGAAAAACTGTGCACTTGGATTGGATGTGATAAAATGATCTTTGTTAACTCTGATAAATAAATATGGAATGTATTTGTAAACTGTGTATTATAACTTATTTTGACTATTAATTAATTGCTTTAAATAATCTTTTTCATGTGATTTATATATAATTTCCATAGCTTCTTTAATGTGAAACCATTTTCGTTTTCTTCCTAAAATAAAAGAAATCGTATTAGTTGTAGCTTCCATATATTAAAAGTTTCATGAGAAAACTACATAATACAGAAAGCATTTATATTTATAAACAGTAACCAGCAAATTACATCTTGCTTCTAGTAAAAAAGTAAACTTCTAATCTAATAATTTGCACTTTACTGTTTGTTTTGTTTTTTTATTTTTTTTTACTTTACAATTTTCAAATAGCTTAATCTGATTATTGTTTGTTTTTTGCAGTGTAAACAACAAAAAAATGGCATTTATTAAAAAGAACTTGAAAATGTTTTGAATATAGCAGATTTAAAAACAGTTTTTAAGAATAATAATGCTTAACATTAGAGAAAAATGACTCCAAACTTTAAAAAAAATGGAAACAGAAACTAAAGTATAAAGATCAATAGCAGAAATGCAGCCTTGTAAAGTAATACATCTGTGATGATAAAGCATTTAACAGGAGAAAAATTAAGAAAGAAGAGATGCATTCATTTACAAGTTGTAACAAAAATAAAACTTTAAATAATAAACAAAATATTAAAAGGCTGATTTCAATGTTAAATAGTAAGTTCACATAACATCATAAATGATGAGATTTACTCATTGGATCAAGGCAGTAATAAAATTAAACATCTGTTAACTACTCAACAGTTATTTCAAATCAATTTGATTCAATCAGCATCTGAATGAGTTATTAGCTTTAGAATTAATTCTAACTTAAACTCTTTTATTCTATTCTTTACTTAATCTGAGCAATCATTGCAGAGTCAAGATAGAAAGTATGAGATTTATTCATTGAATTTAAAATTCAATAAATAATTACAGAAAGTCCTTGTTTGTTTCAAAACTTATTGAACATTCTCCATGCATGAAAGTCAAATAGTGCTTAAATACAATGTAACTTTTAAAAGTTTTTTAGCTTTTATCATATATCATATATTTAAACAGTTTCTGCTTATAAAAACCTAAATTTCTCAAAGATTTTGCCACTATTGTGCATGTTCAAAATGCACATCAACTTGCTGAACTAACACAGTGATGTATCTGTGAATCTGTGTAAGTTAAAGATTTACTGTAATTTAAAACATTTTGCATATTAAAATGACCACATACCTATTCTTTTTAAATCCTCCCATTCTGATAACTCTTCAGTTACTATCAAGACATACACAAATGTGCGGTAGCAGGATTTAGTATTCTGAAAAATAGTGAATGCAATTTAACACAAATGAAAAGTATTAAAATTTAATACAAAATAAATAAATCTTACTTCAAAAATTCCAAGAAAACGATCTAATTTTCCAATGACTCCAGCTTCTTCTTTCACTTCTCTTGTTGCAGCTACAGCAGGTTCTTCATTCAGGTTGATTCCACCTCCGGGTATAATCCACCAATTTTCATTTTTTCTACTTGAAACTAGTAACACCTTAGAACATAAAAATTATGATTGTTCTATTAAGTTTTCTTAGATATAGGAAAATAAATAACTTATTGCATTTAATATATTATTATTGATGAGATGTAGTAACAAAATTTATACATGACATAAAATTGAGAGCAAGTTATGTCTCTCATAAGTTAATTATATTGTGATTTTATAATATATAAAATTAAGAAATATTACAGGTATCCCTTGCTTAACATGGGATTTGATTAATGAGTAAAATTAATTGAAGCAATCCTTTTATATACATGGCAGAAAATTTACACTGCTTTGGAATTTCAAATTTATCTATAGTATATGTTTGGGAGGGCTCCAATTTTTATTGTCATTCAAACAATTCTCATTAAATTTACTTTGTTCATTCTGTTACTTACCAAAACTTTTCCCTCTTCCAGAAATAAAATGACAATATAAAATATGAGTAATTGCCTGCCCACTTTGAAAAGGTCTTGATTCTACAATGCCTTCAAAAGATTTCAGGGATAGGTCAAAAAATCAGGACATGCCAGAAAATAAAGAAATTTATTTGATATTTTCCAAAATAATTACTAAGCTTCAATACACTTTCACTAATTCAGAAAACATTAAGAAAAATTACTTTCATGGACTGCAAAATTTTCCTTGACTCATACAAGATGAGTCAAGGAAAATTTTGATGGAGATTTTTCAACTTTATGCCAAGAAAGAGAGTCATTAGTAGCTAAATTATAGAACAAGATCAGATACAGAAGAATAGTAATTCCAAGTTTAAAAGAAAATAAAAATTTCTTTGTAGACTATACACACAGGATGAGTCAATTTCATTTGGTCCTTTCACACGCTCTTGCGGTAATAATGATTCTACGGCAGAGTCGACCTTTTATTGTAGGAAAATAATATATTAAATGTATTTTAAATGTTAATTTTTATCATTGTGACACCACTAGAGAACTATTTTAACTTTTTTGCATTTTGAGATGGACAAGTAACCTACAATAAAAGGTCAACTCCATCATAGAATCATCATTCCTCAAAAGCATGTGAAAGAACCGAATGAAATTGACTTATCCTGTATGTATACTGTAGTCTACTAAGAAATTTTTGTAAAATTAAAATCATCCCGGCAATTTTTTAAAAGAAAACAGTTTGAATCAATAGAAATCTTAAAACAAATCAAAGAAAATTTTGTAATACCCAAAAGAATTTGATTTGGAGAAATCATTGGAAAAAACATATTGATGCTCAGGATGATTATTTTGAATAATAACAAATAAATTACTTCAGTGTGGAATCTGTATAAATTGCTTTGACTCCAACTCCTCATTTTATGGTATCTTTGACTTCAACTCCTTTATTTAATATCGATATAGGATATTAAATAAAGGAATAAATTATTATCTGATAAATAAGAAATTTTAACATAAATTTAAATTGTAATATAAGTAAGGTATTAGGAGTCAGTGTTAGTCCATTTTTTGCTCCAGTAACACATGAATTGCTTTCAACTTTGACTCCACAGTCCTGAACATAATACATTTTCATTTTTTGACCCATTCCTAGAACTTAAACACACCTTGTACTTCTGCAAACAAGAAAGTATAGAAAATGAGAAATATTTTAAATTCTATGTATTGACTATTTCATACTTTAAAACTTTTTAGTGAATACGATAATAAGTTAATTTTCCACTAAATGATCTATTTACTTTTGATATAGACATTTTGAGAAATTAAATTCATTTTTTATAAGAAAAACTTGAAAGAACTGAAAATAGTATTAATCAATTACACTAATGAGATTTCTGTGCCATTTCCAGGGAAATGAACCAAATTCTCAAATCACAAAAATAAATAAAAGGAAAAATAAACTTTAAAGAAAACCACTGCCAAATTTTTAAAAAATGGTCCATTTATCTCTATTTATTTAGTAGTAGTATTTCATAAGTAAAATAACCATGAGATTTTTAATAAATCAATAAATAGCCAAGAACTCTTACTTAAAACAAACTGAGCCAAATCTGTATTTGTAATAATGTCATGTTATAGATAGAATAGTTCAATAGTTTTTCTTATGTATACTTTATAGTTCAGTATAGTTTTTTTTTTGTGCTCTCAATAATAATTACTTGTCTGAGATCAACTTTTTCAGTACAGTAATACAAAATTTTACTACATTCACATCTTTAATTGATGATGATTAGTCACAGAATTTGTTAATTAATTTGAAATTTTCAAAATATTAAATTTTTGTCATCGCAACATTAAATGCTATCAAGATTATTATTGAAAAATTCCAGCAACCTATTGCAAATTATGTTGCCAAATTTTAAATTTGGGTGCCATTTTGGAAAAGTTTTATAAGACAAAATCTTCATTTCAAAAGAGTTTATAAAAATTTTATTCATACAATTTTAGTCTTACCCCAGCCAAGATATGACCCATAAACTCCTCTACCTCCTCACCTTGAGTTCAGTACTCCAAATTTATTAGCATTAATGCCCCCTACATACACTACATACAAGTTACTATGCCAAATTTCATTTCTTAATCTTTAACTCATTCTGAGATATTAAACAAAATAAATATACAGAATTTTTTTCAAGAGTTTTGTGAATAAAAATTTGGTAGTAATAAATATTTGAATAAGTGTTTCAAATAATATTTGAAACACTTATTTTAATCAATAAAATCATTGATTATACAACAACTGAAAAATCAACATTGCTTAATAATTGTTTCTTCTTAATATAAAAATTCATTGTATATAATGAAAAAGTGAAGAATTGGTTTTTTGGTGTTATATACATTCAAATTAAAGATGAAAAGGCTATAAAAGTAAATAAAATATAATATTCAAAACTCCTTAAAATATTTAAATTTAGTGCGTAAATGAATATAAAAATATTTACTACTAACTTTAACTTCTCTTCTGTCACATCCAGAAATTATTCCATTCCTATCCTGCCATAATCTTCTATCTGATAATGGTGTATGGAATGTGGCATAGGGAGAAATATCATCACAAGTACCTATAAATTAATATAACAACTGTAATGATATAATAGACAAGATATATAATAGAATAAGGGTACTACTATAAAACACCACTTTTTTCAAAATCATAGTTGTTTCACTATGAATAACTAATAATTTTGAATAACAATTGAGACCAAATTTTCATTAAAAAATTCAATTTTGATATCAAAATATTGAAAATCATCTTGAAAATGACTACAAAGTATCAAAATTTCAAAATTTTTTGAAAACCACCAATTTTCACACAAAAACTGATCAAAAGGAGACTAACTTGAGACCAAAATTTGAAAGATTCAGATATTAAATTCCAAGTCATATTGATATAATTTTTTCACTTACTTTTTCCATATTAATATATTTTAATTTGTAATCATTATTTATTTATTTTCCTTACTGCTTTATCTCCTAATTTTCCATTTCTCTTTGGAAGATGAAATGTTTTTCTTTATCATCAATTTACAAAGTTGCAATAATTGTATTTTCATATTTAATATGGACTTTTTTTTAGCATTTAAACAAACAATTTTTTGTTTTAAAATGCTATTGTTTACTTTTATTCATAAATCATTTATATTTTAATGTATGAGAATTTTACAATAATATACTATAGATTGATACCTCTCTGCTCCTCAAAAAGGGCTTTAATATCCAACAGGTACTTGATTTATGTGATGTGCTGACCTTTATCACTGAGCATAATTATTTCTGTTTCAATTGGAAAATTTATTTACAGAAGCAGGGAGTTCCCATGGGTTCCCCTATTCTAGCAGAGCTCATTATGAGAGAAATCAAGCACAGAACAATCAATTTCCCACTTGCCATCCACTACCCACTGCTGTACTTGTGTTATGATAACCTCATAATGTGGGAAGATACAGACGAGACAATTTTTACCTTCTTGCAGCAATTTTCAAGTATATATCCTTCCATTAACTTCACTTGGGAGAAAGAGAATGATGCAGCAATAATGTTCTTAGATTTGTGCATACGTAATCTCCTGAAGGGCAAAGTTCTCAGTTCACCATAAGTCTAATACGGCACCACATATTATCTCAGCAGANAGCTATCTTTATAATTTAATTTCTTTTCCAGACAGCATGAAGATTCCAATAAACTACTTAAATTTGGCAATATGCATTCCATGTAATCTTATAATCTAATATATTGAACTAACATTACTTTCAATTGAATATAATTTATAAACTGTGTGAAATTTTAAGGAAAGTAAATAGCAAAAGAAAATCTAAAAAATTATTTTCTTACATAATTTTCTTAATCTGTATTAAATAAAATACAAACAAATTATTTTTTTCTTAACAATTTCATACTATAGTAGATACTAGATCATATGGGATGAATGGGAAAAATATCATCCTGTTTAATCCAGTACTGTTTAATTAAATCCTGCACCTATTAAACAGAACAGGAAACTTTTCAAAGAAACATGAGAATGACTCAACCACATTTACTCATTACAAACTAGATACTTCAACAAAATGTACTGTTCCCCTTTCACTTCTGGCCAATATCTTGCAAAGCAGATGAGTCATAAATACTGTTGTAATTAGTTCAAAACCAGAAATTGGGATGTCATGATAAAAAATTATGGATACCCAGCATTAGATAGGTAGTACATACACAACACTTGTCTATCATTCTTATTTGACTTTTTAATGTAAAATTGGAGAAATTTCTTGTAGAAATGAACAAATCTAGACATTTCAAGAAAAATTTTCCAATGGGGACAAAGTTTTCCAAATCAGGACAATCTTGGATATAATTTGATATGATAAGTGACTCAACCATAGACATGTAATTGAGAGTCTAATGTATATTCATTTTTAGAATAAAAACATTTTATAAAAACAATAATAATTTTTTCTGCTGTTTCATTCTACATTTTTTAATTTCATTTTTGTATAAAATTTAAATTCAATACAAGAAATTATTCATAATAATATCTTACAA